GTGTTCACAGAGCTGAGGAAGCAGGAGGAGACGGGCCAGCTTGTCCAGCCCGTGCTCTTCGTCCTGCTGGTGCTGCTGTCTGTGCTGCTGTACTTCGCGGTCTCTCTGATGGACCCGGGTTTCATCCTGTCTGATGACACGGACTTGCAGGTGAGCACGAGCCTACTGTACATTACTGTTATCACTCCCACTTTTTACCTTTGTGTTGTGATGGTTTGAAGCAGCTTGAATGTTTACGTTGCTGGTTAAAAAACCTGATTTAAAAAATATATCTTAAAAGATAATCGTGTGCTTGCAGTGCCAAAACAATAATGATAACAATAATTTATTTAAGGCAAACTAACACTCTGCCTTTAATTCAGTTCAGTTTTATTTATATAAGATCACAGCAATAGTCGCCTAAAGTTGCTTAATATTGTAACTTAAATGAGCTGTAGGCCACTGCTGGCACTGTCATCTCTTTAGTGGCCACTTTAGTGTAAGTAGTGCAAAAACAAACCAATCAAGCAAGTATTTCCAAAAATTTAGTGTTTTGTTTGTTTGTTTTAAATTTCAAATATTCTATAACAAGACAAAACTGCCAGTGTTAACACATTTTCCCCCCCTCATGCTTAACTAACCGAAGCCTTTCATTAAACTACCAGAGAAGGAAATTGCTACTCTCTTTCTGGCCAGACACATGGCATCACTTCTGTTATAATTTTGTTCGTATTTAACAAAATAAAAAAGCAGACAAGTGTACACGTTAGTTTTTGACTGCTGGTGAAAATTGTTTTTTTCACAAATAACTCTCACTGAACTAACACAGCCAGTCCCTCAACATGTTTGTACTCTCTCCTCATGATGCCTTCATATTAAATCGTTTTTTGCTTTTTAAAGAACTTATTTTAACATTGCACTCAACAACAAACAAATCCTCCCAACAAAAAGGTAACTTCAATATACGGGCTGCAAGTAGGGGTGACGTGAGCCACAAGTGGCCATGGGCTGCGAGTTTGAAACCACTGCCCTACTCTAATAGCGAGAAAGAAAAGTATGTGAGGGTGGTGCAGCACATGTATGAGGACAGTGGTGAAGGATCTTCTCTAAAGCCTTTCTTGTTTCCAGTTGAAATTAGGGGTGGCTTTAAAAAATCTATTTTCCGATTCAAATCGATGTTAGCTAGAATAACACAATATCGATTCATTAAATCCTGAATCGATTTTTAAATATAAATTTATTTTGCCAGAAACACCAGAATCTCAGGTTAAGGCTCACAAAACAATTTCAACGACCACCAAACAGCTAAAACAGCAAATGAGAGCAGGTAAACAGAATCCGCACAAAGATGTAAACACAAAGAGCAGATCGTTCACCCGATGGCATGTACACAGACACGCTGTCTGGGCTGAATTCTGATTCTGCAGGTTTTGTCATTATCCGATCAAAATTCACTGAACCAGCAGCAAAAGAAGATCAAAACTACAGTTCACATTTAATAAACATCATATTTAATTCCCTCCTACTTTTGCTCTTTTGCTTCCACCACAATAAAATCACACTTCCTGCACAGCTCTCGCTCGCTCTCTTTCTCTGTGTAATTCAAGAACAGTTTCTCTCAAACTCAAATCTCAGTTTTCTGCATTATTCGCTTGCTTATTACGCACCAGTCTACCGTTGTGTGCATTGCTGTCGCCCGCTGTTTTGGGTTTTTTTTGGTTTGTTTGTTGTTTTTCAAAAATGCCTAATTTCTGCTGTTCAACGACAAAGAAATGTAAACTTTTTAAAATTATGCCAAACTGCAAAAGGCTTAGCTGTGTCTCTAATAAAACCTCTGTAACTTTGCTCTGTTTCGCTTCAGCAGCATCAGGTAATGTTCATATGTTAATTCATGGTTTTCTTCTGTTTTTGATCTACTGCAGAGAATTTTTAAGGTGGTGCTATAAAAATTCAGGCCAGGAAAATCTCCTTCATGTTTTTCTGTGTTTTATCCACAGTTACTTTGACACAAAGGCATGTGCTGTGATGCTTACACCTCTGATGAAGTCAGTTTTTATACCTAGATATAAAATATGGATATGTACTGATAAATGATCAGAATTATACTATACCTGACTAAGTCAAAATTGAATTTAATCAAATTGAATCAGGGATAGAATTGAATTGGGACCTCGTGAATCGGAATCAAATTGATTATAGAAATCAGTGATGATATCCAGCAATTGTTGTAATGGACAGGCTAACAGATGAGGTCAGGCAGGAGTCTCTGTGGACTATGATGTTTGCAGTTGACATTGTGATCTATAGCGAGAGTAGGGAGAGGTAGAGGTATGCTATGGAGAAGAGGAATGAAAGTAGCAAGAACAGAATATGTGTGTGTGAATGAGATAGGTGGAAAGGGTGAACATGCAAGGACCAGAGATAGTGAGTTACTGTCGATGTGCCAGCACAGAGAGTGGTACTCTGCTCTTAGATGAAGTAAAAGGATTTCATGCAAGTCAGAAGTTACTAGCAAAGATGCAATTAAAGGTTCAGCTGTTGTATAACTTGGTTGGGGTCCAGACCATCTAAAGCAACAGACACTGCCCAAGAGAGGTGAAAGAGAGTGCAGGCAGAATGGAGTGGGTGGAGATAAAAGTCAGGAGTGTGAAAGGGATGCTTTACAAGATGGTAGTAAGACATGTTATGATGTATGGCTTGGAGACAGTGGCTTTGACTAACAGACAGGGGGCTGAGGTGAACATGTTAAGATTTTCACTTGGAGTGACCAGGAAGGATAAGATTAAAAGTGAGGACACCTCAGTCCATCTGATGTCCCTACCATATAGAAAAAGTGGGAAACAGTGACAGTGTCCACTTTAACATAATTTGTTAGCTGGACAGTTACTCCTTTCTGACCAATTTGTCTTCTTTGTTGTATTAGTTCATGCTGGGAGTGACTGAGGAGCAGCAGGACATGATTCCTCCTGCCACCAAATCCCTGAGACAGCGCCGTTGTGGCCACTGTCTGCTTCAGGTATGCTGCTCAGCTCGTCGGCAGAGGTGGTATACACATGTCACTTAAATAGAAGTAGAGACACTTCCAATAAAAAATACCCTGGTAAAAGTTAAAGTACTTATTCAACTTTTTTACTCCAGTAAAAGTAAAAAAAGTACAGGCTTTGAAAAGTATAAAAGTAAAAAGTAACTCCTTGTTACTTCAGTTCTAATTAATAATGAATGTAAACAGTTTGCACATCCATAATGTAGAACACAAGCAGAGAAAAACAAAGGGAATTAAAAGAAACTAGCTCTGTTGCCTTCATTGTAGATATGTGGAGATCAGATGGAGCTTTCCTGCTGCTCTTTCTGGCCAAATCAATTCAGCAGGATATGAGCATCTTACATGAGGTACTACGGCTGATTTTCAACCCAAAGCATTACAAAGCTAATTTAAAGGTGGAATTCATTGAGTGAATCTAATAAACATCATCACCTAATTTGCTGCCTGCTGCCCTTGGTGTAACCTGACACTGACCACCGCTCCATCATAGGGCATGGCTGTAAACGTCACTGTGTTGTGAGATAAGCAGTGTAGTCTGCACTCAGCTGCCTACAACTGTCATGGAACATGTGAATAACAAAAAGGCAGTATGCCAGTTTATTATCGTCAGGTCTCTACAATCTTGAGCGCCTGGAGTTGATTGTTCTTGTAATTTAGTGCTATACAATTAAATGGAATAGAACTGTGTTGAATTTTGCACAATGTTTCATAATGTGAAAACCGCGAATTGCTACCTTATCGTGGTGGAGGGTTTTGTGTGTCTCAGGGTTCCCAGGGGCTATGTTGTCCAGGTGCTTTTGCCTCCTGATAGGGTCTCCAATGGCAAATTGGTCCTGGGCGAGGGACCAGACAAAGAGTGATTCAGAAGACCCCTATGAGTGCAAGATCAAGGGAACACTTCACCTTGGGTGGATGATTGACATGGCTCTGCAATGTTGTGTGGAGATCAGGGGTGGTACCTCTGGATTTGCAGACCGGGGTAGTGGTTCCCATCTTTAAGAAAGGGGGAACGGTCTGTTAGTCGAACCTCGGATACAGGAGGAACAATGTGGTTTTCATCCTGGTTGTGGAACACTGGGCCAGCTCCTTATCCTCTCAAGGATTCTTGAGGGTGCATGAGAGTTTGCCCAACCAGAGAAGACATGGAGAAGGCATTCAACCGTGTCCCTTGGGGTGTCCTGTGGGAGGTGCTTCAGGAGTATAAGGGCGCCTGGCCCATTTCTACGGGCCATTCGATCCATAGACAACTGTTGCAAGAGCTTGGTCCACATATCTGGCAATAAGTTGAACTCGTTCACTGTGGGTGATGGACTCCGCCAGGGCTGCCCTTTGTCATCGATTCGGTTTGTTATTTTTATGGACAGAATTTCTATCTGTACTCAAGTGGCAGAAGGCTTTCATTTGGGTGGTCTCAGAATCTCCTCTCCGCTTTTCGCAGATGATGTGATTTTGTTGGTTTCATCAGATGATGACCTCCAGCTCGCACTGGAACGGTTCGCAGCCGAGTGTGAAGCAGTGGGAATAAGAATCAGCACCACCAAATCTGAAGCCATGGTCCTCAGCCGGGAAAGGGTGGAGTGTCCACTCTGGGTCAGGGACGATTTCCTGCCCCGATTTGAGGAGTTTAAGTATTTCATGGTCTTACTCACAAGTAACGGGACAAGGGAGCAGGAGATCGACAGATGGATTGGTGCTGCAGCTGCAGTGATATGGACGCTGTACCAGTCCGCCATGCTGAAGAGAGAGCTGAGTGTAAAAGCAAAGCTCTCTACTTGCTGATCAGTCTACGTCCCTACCGTCACCTATCACGAGATCACGAGCTCTGGGCAGTGACCGAAAGAACAAGATCACGGATACAAACAGCGGAAATAAGCTTCTTTCCAGAATAATAATAATAATAATAACTTTATTTATAAAGCGCTTTCAAACAAAGTGCTGTACAACTATTTAAAACTAAAAAGATAAAAAAATAAATAAAAGCGATACATAGCAATACAGGTAAAAGACACAATACAAGTTAAAAAAAAGAGATAGGTTTAGGACTTCAGCCATCTGGGAGGGGCTCAGAGTAGAGCCGCTGCTCCTCCACAACGAAAGGAGCCAGTTGACGTGGTTCGGGCATGTCCCACCGGGAGGAGACCCCAGGGCAGACCCATGACTCGCTGGAGAGATTATATCTCTCAACTGGCCTGGGAACGCCTTGGTGTTCCCCCAGACAAGCTGGAGGAGGTGGTCGGGGCCAGGCATGGTCTGGGCTTTTCTGCTTAGGCTGCTGCCCCTGCGACCCGGCCCCAGGTAAGTGGAAAAAGAAGATGGATGGAAAACAGATCACACCAAACATCTTTTTTAAAAACAGCTCTAAATTAAATAAGGAGATTACACGTCAGCTATCTAATGCCACTGAGCAATCTTTATCCTAGAAGATAAAATCTCCTGTTGTCTCTCCATCTCTGAGTGAAGTTATCTCACTTTCTTTTCTGTCCTTTGCAAGCACAGCAGGCATGCTGTGTGACAAATGGCACACAAACCGTTTGTGTGTCTGCTCTTATGAGTATATTTGAAAAATTGCACTGGAAATTCCTTGAGGTGACTCTTGTTGTGAATTGGAGCTGTACAAATAACATTGAATTTAAATTATCCACGACTTTAAAAAGTTTTATGCTTCTCTTCCGTAGCACTAGATGCAGAACCACCAGTGTTGTGGAAAAAAAGCTTATTATGACCAGCTTCCAGATATCTGGACCAAAACACACTGTTCTGGATTGTTCCGGCCCACTTTAAGCCTTGAAAACAGTGCTGTAAATGATGCACCGACTAAATGTTTTTGCCCTGTTTATTTGTTCATGTGCAATAAGCACAAGCAATTATTGTTCCCTCCATTTAGGTTCAACTTTGTTTGATATTTCAAGACGCACAGTAACCTGAAATAATAACTCAAATGTCCTCACATGTCTTAAACTTAGAGTAACAACCCCGAGTAGAAAATGGAGATATTTGTGTAAAAATGTAGGGACTAAAAGGGAAAAATAAATACTTAAGTACAGTTGAGATTTGTACGTGTACAACCACAACCCAAGTGACTAGGTCTCTGAAGGAAAAGGCAGTGAATGTGTGAGATATCTTTGTCACTACATTTGTACTGCACTGATTCACTTTTCTGTGAGGGAGCTAATCTCAGTTGTGGAGAGGTGAGGGTGGTACATCTGGCCAGAACAAAATCAGAGAGCCAAAGCCACCAGAGCCGTTTGGAGGCTAAGCAGGTCACCTACTAATCAAAAGGTTGGTTGTTCGATCCCCATCTGCTTGAGTCTGCGGCCTAAAACTCCTTGGGCAAGATATTAATCCCAAGTTGCTCTCCCATCTTCATCCATTGGAGTATAAATGAGTGTGAATGTTAGATAGAAAGCACTTGTATAGAGGCAAGTTGTATAAAGCGCTTTGAATGCTCAGAGTAGAAAAGTGCTATATATAAGAACCAGTAAAATGGTACCAGTCCATTTACCAAATGGTAAATTGGATACTTGTCACGCTTAAATGTTTTAGACATAACCTGAGTAAACACAAAATGCAACTTTTAAATGATAATTGAATATATTAAGGGGGAAAAAATCTACCTGGCACTGTGTGGAAAAAGTGATTATACCTGTCGAGAAAGGTGGGATTCAGCGAGACATTCAAGTAAATGATGTATGTGCACAAGTCAGATAGATGGAGAGAGGATGATAGTTGTCGCTGGTCATCTGGTGATCAGGCGTTAACAACGTGACTGGATGTCACAAAGGGTCGGGCCAGATGTCATCTCAGAAGATGTGACGTCCAGAAAGAGAGGGAGGAGAAAGCTTGACCAGGTATAAAAGTTAGGTGAAAAAGAGATACACGGATCTTCCCTTTGTCCTCTGCAAGATGAGCAGTTCAGAAGATCGAATATAAGATGTTAAAGATTCCAGCAGAGACTCTAGAGGAATCAATATACCTGGATACCAGAGGCAGCTAATGCTGTTACTGCCCCTAACCCTCACCCATCAGGCTCCATCTAAGCTCATTTATCAGAGGTTAGGACTTTTTAAACAGAGAGCCAATCCAGATCTCCTGTATTAGATTGTTGGTTCACCAGGTCCACACCCCCTAAACCTAATAAGTGGTCGTGACACCCTTTGAAGCAAGAACTGTAATCAAACATTTTTGATAGCAAGAGTTCATTTTGTTGCATCGGAACCCTGATCTTGACTGAGGCAATTGATGTGGATGCATTGGGGTACAGTATCTTGCCCAAGATAAACTGGAGAAGCGGGGGATCGATCCATTGAATTTTTGATTAGTAGACAACTTACTCTACCACCGAATCAAATGGCCAGAAATAAAAGGACAGTTAAAATTGTGTTGCTTCTAAAACAACGAACGGATGCTGCTTGTGATGGATCCACAACTCTCCAGAGGTCATTTTCTGCTGTTTTTTCCCCCTCCTTGAAGTCTTACTTTTAAAAGGAGTCTGAAGGTCGTTCTGGATGTTGAAGCAGAAGTTTGAATAAGCATATGTCTGCTTGTGACAATAGAGGAAAAGCTGGGGTGGACAGACGTAGCATCTGTATTCCCATACAGGATGGGCAAACTGTACAATGTCACCTCTTTGTTCTCTGCATGTGTTTGTGTGTCAGTGTGTGGCTCTCAGGCTGAAATGAGACACTTGATATCTGGCAGGATCCAGCAGTGGTATAGGATATCAGGAAACACAGGGCTGTGTTACATACCCAGACGACCTTAAAAGTATCAGATAATACTTCAGATGCAGTATGCCGGGACTCCGAGTAAAATGTTTCATCACCAGATAAGAAAAGCCCCACATACTCACACAAACAGGAACTAACAAAAATTGGGCAAAATTCATGACGCACTGACACTTTCTCTAAGGAGGTACCACGGTCCATTGATAATACTGGACTACTGAGTTGAGCTCTGAGTTACAGACAGTCTGCCTGTATTCATTGTATATCAGTCACCTGATATACTTTTACACATCCAACTACACTCTGTTTCAGCTGCTTTAGCCTATCCATTTCTAAGGCACTTTACAACCCACTTCCCTGTCATCCCCATATTTCATTTTCAGTTTCATATCTGCTGACATGGTTGCCCACTCTGCTCAGTGGTCTTCCTGCTGCTCTCCCTGCCTCCGAGTGGCCTATGAACTGAACGGTGATGCTAAATTGCTCTAAATTAAATGACTAAATGGCTGAACTAACGACACTTTGTGCCCTGTGCTGTTGTAATCTTACCAAATACAGTGCATTTGGAAAGTATTCACACCGCTTTACCTGTTCCACATTTTGTCACATTATAGCCTTCTTCAAAAAATGAATTCAATTCTTTTCACTTCAAAATTCTACTTGCAATACCCCATAATGACAAAGTGAAAAAGCTTGCTTGAAAATCTTGCACATGTATTGAAAAACTAAAAAAAAAACCACTATGCTATGAATGCACATATTCATAGCATTTATGGATCCTGTTTGCACTGATCATCTGTTAGATCCACCTATGGTAATTCCTCTTTATATAATAATAATAATAATAATAATAATGGATTTATATAGCGCTTTTCAAGGCACCCAAAGCGCTTTACAATGCCATTATTCATTCACTCTCACACACTGGTGGAGGCAAGCTACGGTTGTAGCCACAGCTGCCCTGGGGCAGACTGACAGAAGCGAGGCTGCCATATCGCGCCATTGGCCCCTCTGGCCAACACCAGTAGGGTAAAGTGTCTTGCCCAAGGACACAACGACCAGGACAGAGAGCCCGGGGATCGAACCGGCGACCTTCCGGTTACAGATACGCTTCACAACCCCCTGAGCCACGGTCGCCCCATATATACAAGGTCTTGAGTAATCTTAAACACCTCATAGTACCATGACACCCCATTAGAACACTTTGGTCTCAGACTGCTGGTTTACTTGGGGTTTGTAGGATATTTAAAAGTAGAATAGGATGCAGAGGCTTCAGCTTTCAGGCCCCTCTTCTATGGAACCAGTTTCCAGTTTGGATTCAGGAGACAGACACCATCTGTACATTTAAGAGTAAGCTTAAAACTTTCCTTTTTGCTAAAGCATATAGTTAGGGCTGGACCAGGTGACCCTGAATCCTCCCTCAGTTATAATGCAGTAGGCCTAGGCTGCTGGGGACTTCCCATGATGCACCGAGTGGTTTATACACAACTCTGCATTTAATCATTAATTATTAGTTATTATTAATCGCTTGCTCTTTGAGGCAACTGTTGATGTGATTTGCCTCTATATAAATAAAACTGAAAGAAAGAAAAGGAATTGAATATAAATGGTACAATTATTAAAGATGAGGGTTCTATGGCACGTGAATTTAATAACACTGTATACAGTTAGTAGTGGAATTAACTCAGAATTTCAATTCTTCAGTTGTAACATAATAACTGTGGAATCATCAGATTTATTTTGCGTGCAAGAGGTTAATGAAGCAGAAATCATGGAGATGATTAATGATTTGGACACTTGTTTCATTCAAAAAAAAAAAAATTGTTCTGTGTTTCAAGCAGCAGCCAATGAGATCAAAGCACTGCCAGACGTGTCAGCACTGCGTCCGGCGTTATGACCATCACTGTCCCTGGATTGAGAACTGCGTTGGTGAGAGGAACCACCGCTGGTTTGTGTTTTACCTGGCCTTCCAGCTGCTAGTGCTTCTATGGGGCCTGCGCATTGCCTGGTGAGCAACACCACCCATCTCTACCTCCATGTTACTGTTGCTGCTGTTGCAAAGCTGTCACATCCTATTGCTCTCTCCTCTTCAGGACGGGTTTCACCTACGTACCCATCTGGCACCAGTGGCTGCGTACAAATGGAGTCCTGACGGCCGTGACCATGCTGCTAGCGCTGCTCTCGCTCATCGTACTGTTGCTGCTTGGCTCCCATCTATACCTGGTTTCTCTCAACACAACCACGTGGGAGTTCATGTCGCGCCACCGCATCTCCTACCTCAAACACTGCGGTGCAGATGAGAACCCCTTTGACCGCGGGACATTCCAAAACCTTTGGGGTTTCTTCTGCATCTGGGGCACAGTGGTGTGGGAGCATGTGTACTTCAAGGAGGGCAGCGATCAGGTTTAGGTACATTTCAGTGATGAACAGCCTCTCTGGATCTGGGATTACACACCAAATAGGAGGATAAACTGTGCTTGTGACCGGTTCCCTTTATATAGGCATTTGTGTTGTTGTGCCATAACTGTGGAGCGTTTCCCTCCTTCTCATCCTCTCAGTCGTTCTTTATTGCAATTGATTGCCTGCATTTCCTGTTTTTTTTTTTACCTCAATGCAGTCGTAGTGAAATATGTGGGAGCTTTCAAATAGTCAGTTTTGGTTAGGAAGTTTTCTAATGAGTAAAGTGATACAGGTGCATGACAGCTATAATAAAAGCATTTCAAATTCTGGTCTAAAGACCTTATGTTAAGGTCTACAGCAAGAGAAATAAGAGCTATAATAATTGACTTAATTAAGTATAATGCACACTTCACCTTTGGAATGTTTGTTGTTTATCATGGAATTAATTTTTACTTAAGGTCAGCTAGAATACATGATGGATGGAGGAAATTTTACTTCAGTCATGGAAATCAAGGACTTAAATGAAATAAATCATTTTCCTGCTCATGTGTCTTACGGGCTATGGGGCAGGGCAAATTAGCATGATGCCCTAATGATCATGATCTAATAATAGTGCACTAATTTAATGAAATTTAAAGATGCAGCCGATTCATTTCAATAATAATCAATATGCTGCCAAGAGCAGAACAAATGAGCAGCTCAAAAACAGCAGAACCGGTGAGAAACCCAACGAGGATTGTGCGAACCAACGCAGGTCTTAGAAATAGAAAATGGAGAATGCGAGGTTCAAAGGTCTGAGACACAGCTGGAGCTCAGGATTTAGCCAGCATTTTTCAAACAGCTGTATGACCTGTAAGATGTGTAGAAGGTAAACAAAAGCATCAGATCTTGAGCCTCGCACACGTTCGTGAAAATACAGCTACTATGCCTACATGCTTATGAGCATTGCTCATTGTTGGTCTGTGCAGACTCCAGAGGAAGGACAGTTCAGCCAAGTTTCAGTATTATTGAGCAGAACACTCAGGGACAGGACTATTGCTATTTTTTTATGACCTTCATGAAACATCACAGTAAGAACACGCTAATAAGGTGGGCATTTTGCCGTCCATTGTCTCGATGCTGTAATTTCAACACAGTAGACATCGAGTTGGTTAGAATCTCAGCACACAGGCTTCTTTTCCCAACTTAAACATTTTGACCTCGATGGAGAACATCACCAGGTCGGGAACAGGAAATAGGAGTCATTTTTAGGACAATTTGAACATAGTGTGTGTTTCCAGAATGAGGCTGCTCCTCTTAATAACTGGTAACCAGCACTGCGGCCTTCCTCCTTATTGTTTACACATCAAGTTCATAATTTCCTTCAAAACAAGCAACTCTCTACATTGTCTTCAGGCATTTTACACACCTGAGTGAATCCGGTTAAGCTAGGACTTTACTCACCCAAATACCCTCAGTCCTGCCTCTTCCACAAAATCATTTAAGTAACAAGTGATGTTTGTTGACAATAACCTGACTGTTCACCCTCAATTCACATCAATCATTACATTCAAAATTTGAGTAACAATTACTTTAGTGTAGTGGGTTCCATTCTCTTGTTGTCTCGTATGATGAATGCTGTGCCTGTTTTACAGGATTCACCTTCTCCAGCAGCTTTTGTCACTAAAGTAGGTTAGTCCAAGTGAGTGTGTTTGAAATATGAACTGTATTGTTCCTGGCAATTATTCCATACATGTACACGATATTTAGACCTGTTACAGTGTCTCAAGTTGTTTAAAATTGTACATATTTTTTAAACTATTTTGGAGCAGAAAATGTCTTTAGATTTTTGTAAAACTATTTTAACAGGGACTTGAATGATACAGTGGAACACTGGTTATTAGCTAAAAGGTTTGAGTGCAATATGTTTCCATTTAAGGTTTTCCTTGTGCAATAGTAACCTTGTAAGACAGCAATAAATGTTTGTGTTTGATCCAGTGCAAAATGCTGAGTCCTTCTGCTTGGACAGTAAGATCTCTGCTTTTTTTTTTTTTTTTTTTTACAAATTAACATTTACAGTCTGTGGTGTAGTTTTCAATTATATACAATATTGTCATGCAGTGTTTTTTTAAATACTGTAAATACTGGAAGTACTATAAAACTCAATAAATGTTTCATGAGGAGCTTTCTGGTTAAAGTCCAGCATTTATACATTTATTCATGTTTACCTTCACATAATTTACACTTTACATATAGGCTGGTTTTGTCTAAATGGGCACATTTGTTATTTAAAATTTCTAGACATTAACAGGTCAATATCAGCAGAAGTGAGAATTTTGGCCATTTTAAGCATTTAACAAAGAGAGAATAACAAAACAATCAATAGAAAAGTACATTCAGTGCATTTTACCTTCAGTGAGACTTCACATATTTACAGGTTAGACAGTGTTACTCTTCAGAAACATTGCAGTGTAAATATTCTGTAAATAGCCTAACGAAAAATGACAAAAAAGTACAAAAATGATTTTGGCAAAGTGTTAAAAGTAACTCCTGCACAATGAAATCAGACCCAGCTAAGCAGATCTTGCCAGGGAAGAAATATCTGAAGGATATCTATAGTTTTTCCATCTTCTGCTCTTCTGTTGAGCCAGAAGAGCAGTGTTGAATAAGACAGAGCTTGAATCGCCGTGGTCAGCTAATGAAAGAGAAATCAAAGTCTGCAAAGATTTCCTGTTGCTCAGCAGTGAGGATGCAGGGTGTCCGCGGGAGTGTAAGGACCGGTTTGAGACGAGTGAATTCTTCATCAAAGTTACTGACATCCTGTGGAGCTCTAATGGCTGGCAGGAAGGGAGGCTTCACCTTCTTGGCCAGAAGAGCATCCCAGTCCATTTCCTGGTAAGATAAAATAGGAGTTAAATTGTCTTTTTCAAGAAAGATGCGGCCACGACAGCAGCAGAAATTGCAGGAAATTACAGTTCTATAAAGGCCTGCATCGAGTATAATGTAGAAGATAGTAGGTATAATAACCGGGCGTCATAAAGATACTCTATTTAACATATAATTCCTTTGGAAAATTTGTTGTCTACAGGCCATTTACCAGTATAAGCAAATATATTAGGCATTTATAAACCATACAGAAACATCACCAATCACTTTTTGGCAGACAATTACTTTGGGACACAACATCAGACCCTTCTGTATCTCCACTAAAGTGATGGCAATTAATGCCCAAAATATTCTGACATTTATGTTTGGTCGATGATTTCTTTGTTGTAAAAATGTTAAACCGTTGGAATGCCGGTTTATATCCCTTTAAATTGTGTGTGGGTTGCACTCGTGAAAAAAATCAAATCAAATGAAAGAATCAAACTAAATCAATAAATTGTTAAATTGCCAAATATTTCCTGTTTCTTCAGACTTCAATCATCCAATCCAACAAACGACACCAAAGGGTCAATAGCAGAATAAGCTGTTTGGCATTGGCAGAGAAGATTTGGTAGGTTTTCCATGGGTGCAACCCACATACTGTACTGAACTCTACTGCTCAAGCCACAAATGATCTAAGGAGCTTGGAAAGAAAAGCAACCGGACTTCTTTCAGCTTCTTAAAGACAAAAGTTAAAGAAGTCCGGTCGCTTTTCTTCCCAAGTTCCTTAGATTACCATGACTTGGATGACTGAGAACCTTCACAAATATAAATACATTTCCTTACACATAAATAGACTTTCCAATGGAAGAAGAATTGTTACAAAAAAGAAATAATCAACCAAACAAATTTCTTTACTTTTTCTGCCTTGTTTATCTCATATAGAGTGTTTATTTTTACGTGCACCTAGGATTTCTGGCCAACAAGGCACAACTGCTGATATTTTTAAAAAGGGATTTTTATGTCACATGATCTCCTCAAGCTGTTACATGTACTTTGAGATGGCTGCGATTAAAAGTACACAAACGTAACCCTTGTATGGTATTTTAATTTGGAATCCACCTTTTTTTTTTTTTTTAACTACCTTGACCTGGATGAAAGAGAACCCACACAGACACAGACTAATTTCTCAACTTCTCATGATAATCACAACCTGAAACTGGTTCCAGTAGATGGCCATACCTGCCTGACCCTGGTTCTGCCAAGGTTTCTTCCTGTTAAAAAGGGACTTTTTCCTTCCCACTGTCACCAAACGCTTGCTCAAAGGGGATCACGTGATTGAAATAATCCAGAGGAAAATGCCAACAGAGTCTTTACCTTACAATATAAAGCACCTTACGGTGAATTTTGCTGGGATTTGTCATATAAATAAAACTGAATTGAATTGAATGTTGAACTCCTTTGCCTCAATTCAAATCAACTGTATTTATATATATAGCACCAAATCACAACAAGCATTGCTTCAAGGAGCTTTGTATTACAAGGTCAAGACCACACAACAATGCTCAGGTCACTCTCTACAAAGCCAACACTGTTGTTTCTTGCTCACTGGTTAAATAATCAAACTTGTGCTCTTCATCATTCCTGTCGAAACTAATAATATTTAAATTAATAATGATTGTGGATGACAGTGGGTTTGGTTGTGCACTGTGAATATTTTGAAAAATCAAATTTAAATAATCTGAAAAATTGTAATAACAATTATCCCAGGTTATTATTTGATACTGTTAATAGCACTGTTTCTCCTCCACCCTGTTCTAATGAGGATGATTCTCAGTGCCCTGAATCATTTATGTCTTTTTCTCTAATTACACTTAATGACTCAATGATTACCTTCTTTACATCCTATTTGAGACGTCCACCACCATTAGCACATCTTTGTTTTCAGTTCACTGAGGCAAGGCAGTGTTCCCTCCTATACAAAACAGCCTGAAATAACTGCTTTACTGAAGAAACTTAATCCATTGGTAGCTGTTACCAAATTATGAAGAAACACTTGAAGAACATCAATTCAGATCTTTTAGCATTTCCTCCAAATGGCAGATTTTTAAACTCAAAAGTAGGACTCCGTTTTTGAAGCTCTGTTATGATCTTTTGATGGCTTCTGATACAGGGACTTGTTTTACACTCTTCCTATTTGACCTCAGTGCAACCTTTGATACTGTTGACCATAAAGTTTTACTTAATAAATTTAAGGTTCTGGCTGGCATCTCTAGCTCTACATTCGATTGGTTTCCCTTCTACTTATCTACAAGGACTTTCTCTGTTAGGACGAAGAAGCTATCCTTGAACATAACATTGTGGGGTTTCCACAATGAGTCGTCTTTTAGTCGACATTTTGTTCATGTCTCTGATGATGGCATTCAGCTATATATGCCTTTTAAGGCTCAAAGCTGGATAGGAGGTCCTCCCTAGTCCACTGTTTAATCAAGATTAGGAACCGTCTCACTATCTGTTACCTTGTTCTAAACGGCAACAAGAGCGACACTGTGGTTATAGCTCCTCCTGAAGTATGTCCTAAAATCAGTCAGGCTTTTGCTTCTTTCTGTTCAAATGCAAATTCCAGAAAGGTGATCTCTGGAGAACATGTAAAATCTATTTTACATTTCTGTTTCTTTCATTTAAGAAGCATTTCTAAATTGTGACGTACGGTCACCTTGTCTGAACTCGACAAAAATCATTCATTTGTGCGATTGCATGATTACTAAAATGCCTAGATACTCTCTTCCATGACTCCAAACAAACTCACATTTCTCCTCTTTTATATTCTTTATACAGACTCTCACTAGATTCTAGGATTATTTTTCAGTTTCTTATACGACAGAACAGTAAACAGCCAGGCCGTAGGCCATTTATCCCAGCTGCTTAAACACACTGCTGCTCACAGTCTTCAGCCACAGACTCAGAATCTGTTAGATGTTCCTTATAGAAATTTAAAGACTAGGGGACACAGAGTCTTTGAAATAATTTCCACTAATGTGGTTAGCTGACTCTGGACTTCTGCTTAAAAAGCAGTTAAAACCCTTTTCTTTAACCTGACAAGTCTTTGTTGAGACTACGGTCTTAACCTGATTTTGTATTGGAACTGCGGTATTTAATTTTCTCATATTTTTTGTTCCGTTTACTTGTGCAGCTCTTTGTGATTCCTTACTTTTCAGATGTTTTTACTCAGCACCTGCCCTTCCACTATTTCATCTCATACTCGTACCGGGTACTTCAGTGACTTCAGTTGAAGCAGCTACAATAACTGGACACTGACCTCATAAAATTTGTGCCTTTTGATCTCCAAGGCATCTTCTTCTCCTGCTCCCAGTCTCAACTCAGGATTTTTCTGCAGCAGCTGAAACACAGGCGGGAGAAAGAAGGTGATGTAGTAGCCTAGGTCAACAGCATTTAGAATATTCAGATCATATAAATAGAATTCAAATGTGCTGATAAGCTCAACAGACAGTTTAGATTTTGAGCACTACTTCATTATTAAAAGTGTGAATAAAACTGAAGAGGTCATAAAATGTTCCTCATCTGGAGAATTCAGTTTCCTTAGTCTGGGAGCCAACCTTCTGAATGAGGGATGCAGAGTTAGGAGAAAGGAGGCGGGGGTAGCGCACATCATCATTGACAATGCTATCAAACACTTCTTCCTCATCGTCGCCGGGGAAAGGAGACTGAAAGAAAGAACAGAGCTGTAGTAACTTCATATTGTTCTTGACATTATTTAAGGATATAATTCAGGCATATGCTCCAATGCCTTGTGCCAAACAGCTACCTGAACTCTACTCACACAGAAGTGTTTTTACATCTTCACTGGGTACGCCTCTTGACTCCTCTGAGCCAAGCATTCCTTTAACCTTAACTATTCATTCGTGTGAATGCTGATTAGGCATTCGGACTGGCAGTAGTAAAACCATTACTTAAAGAGCCATCACTTGACCTGAGTGTCTTTCCTTTTATCTCAAAAATTCCTGAAGGAGTGGTGGTAAACAGCTAACTTATCATCTGCAAAGGAAAGGTTTTTTTGAAGAGTTTCAGAGCCCATCACAGCACAGAAAGAGCTTTAGTGAAGGTTACAAATGATCTTCTTATGGCCTCTGACAGTGGACTCATCTCTGTGCTTGTCCTGCTAGACCTCAGTGCAGCGTTCGATACTGTTGACCATAATATCCTATTAGAGCGATTAGAGCATGCTGTATTACAGATACTGCGCTGCAGTGGTTTGCATCATATCTAATAGATTCCAGTTTGTTCATGTAAATGGAGAGTCCTCTTTCCACACTGAGGTTATTTATGGAGTTCCATGGGGTTCTTTGATAGTAACACTGTGAGAAATCTTGGAGTCGTTTTTTGACCAGGACATGTCCTTCAATGCACATATTAAACAAATATGTAGGACTGCTTTATTCCATTTGCACAAAATCTCTAAAATTAGAAATATCCTGTCTCAGACTGACACTGAAAAACCAGTTCATGCATTTATTATTTGTAGGCTGGACTACTGTAATTCACTATCATCAGGAGGTCCTTCAGTTAATCCAAAATGCTGCAGCAAGAGTACTGACAGGGACTAGAAAGAGAGCATATTTCTGCTACATTGGCTTCTCTTCATTGGCTTCCTGTTAAATTAAGAATCTAATTCAAAATCCTTCCCCTCACATACAAGGTCTTGTATAATCAGGCCCCATCTTATCTTAATGACCCCAACAGGGCACTTCGACCTCAGACTGCTGGCTTACTTGTAGTTCCTAGGATACTTAAAAGTAGTATGGGAGGTAGAGCCTTCAGCGTTCAGGTGACAGACAACCTCTCTACTTTTAAGATTAGGCTTAAGACTTTCCTTTTTGACAAAGGTTACAGTTAGGGCTGGATCAGGTGACCCTGAATCCACCCTTAGTAATGCTCCTTTTTTCATCCCTTTTCACTTACCGTGTATTTATACACCACACTGCATCTAATAGTTGGGTATTATTTATCTCTGACTCTTCTCCATGGCATGTCTTTTGTCCTGTCTTCCTCCCCTTAACCCAACCAGTTGCAGCACATTGCTGGCCCTCCCTAAGCCTGGTTCTGCAGAGGGTTTCTTTCTGTTAAAGGGACTTTTTCCTTCCCACTGTCACCAAAGTGGCTGCTCATTGGGGGGTCACCTGATTGTTGGGATTTGGTTAAGCCTTCGTAACACTTTGAATTCACGTTGATTTTTTTTTTTCATGCGAATATCCAATATGGTGGTGTAGAGAGGCAAGACTATCAATAGTACCCTTGTCCAACAAAGTACAGACCTAACTGTAATTATATAAACATTTGTATATACAAATGGTTGTTAGTTGTCCATAAACAGTCCAGCATTCACTTCTTTTCAGATTTTTTTTTCTTTTACTTAGCACCAAATCACAAGAGTTGCCTCAAGGCGCTTTATATTGTAAGATCAAGACCCTACAATAATAATTCATGTTTGGTCTAAATAGACTGGTTCTTATATAGCACCTTTTTCCCTACTTTAATGTCCTCATTCATCCATTTATATAAGAACTTTCTCTTCGCCAAAATGCTTTCTATCAACACACACTCATGTTCCCAGCTGGGATCATCCCACCAACCTTCCAATTAGTAGATGACCTGGTTTACCTCCAGACCTAAAGCCAAAGTCATATTTAGACTTTGGCTTTAGGATAAAGTCTAAACATGACTTTATCCTATCTCTGAAACATGGTTTTAATATAGGAATTTTGGTTTGTCTGAGCTGGGATGATTTTTCAACATTAATAGAGCATTGAATTTAGCAATTTGGCAGCAAAGTCTAACAGGAAAAGCTAATTGAACTAACAAAGCATTTCATGTGAGGAAATGTGAGGTAACATCAGTGTTTAAGCTCTTCTGTATGGAGGAATGAGTAAAGATTACTTTAAAGTAATGCAGTGATCAATAATGAATGGAAATGTGTAGGAAGGTCTACACCAGACACTGAAGGTGAAGGTGGACATTGCCCCAAAAAATTCAAACCTTTTTCTTCCTGCAACCTTATGACACGGTGCATCTTTATATACGGTCTATGGTTTACACTGACCTCCCCCACCAGCATCTCATAGACGAGGACCCCCAGCCCCCACCAGTCCACACTGCGGGTGTAATTGCTGTCTGTCAGCACCTCTGGAGCCAGGAACTCTGGTGTGCCACAAAAGGTTGATGTGCGATCCCCGTGGCCCATTTCTATGCACAGTAAAGTGTCACAGAGTGACGACAGGGATTGATTACATACTTGTTTAGTTGGTACTGTTCATGCATATAAGTGTGAGTGATTAATTACAAACTATCCATGTACATTCATAGCCTTTGACACAAACACTATAGAGTTCTGAAATCTGGCAAAACACAAAATCTAAAGCTTTGACTTTCTGCACTGAAGATACAGAGACCACACAGTTTGATTTTTCAACAAAAAAATAAAATTGAGATCTATTTACCTTCTTTGCACAAGCCAAAATCTGCTATCCTTACAAAGCCATCTGCGTCCATCAACAGATTGTCCAGCTTCAGGTCTCTGAATGACACAAACAGAAAAAATGATGCCTCATGCTCCTGACATGCAGCTCATAGTTACGAGGACATAGTAATAAATTGCCTTGAAAGGACTCACCTGTAAACTATTTTGTTTTTGTGGAGAAACTCTAGACCCAAAAGCACACACGAGGAGAAAAACCTAAAAATCAGAGAAGTGGTAGAAATAACAGCACTATCCTGGATTGTAGCGGCAGGTTTTACAGAAAAAACATGAGCTCACCGAGCCTGACTCTCATTGAAGATGCTGTTGTGAATGTGCGTCATGAGGTCTCCTCCGGGCGAGTAGGCCATCACAAAGCACACGTGGTCTGCAGTCTGGAAACAGCCGTACAGGTTCACCAAGAATGGATGACGAGAGGAGTTGATCACTTCAAAGATCCTCTTTTCACACATGAGGCTGAACATGACCACACAGATACAGTGGTAGAAGTGACATATTAATACCCATCATCTCCTTCCAACAGTCTTAACTCTATTCAGACCCTTGCAGTTCAATCTTTAGATGTCACAGGTCAGAGTAATCATCGTCATACTGATATATGGTAATTAAAGATGGGGACAGAAATATGCAGATGCGAAGCGCTCTCAAATACTGTGCACCTTTTTGTGTCGGCTGGCTATTGAGCTACAAAAACAACAACACAACCCCCACCTCCATCCATCTTCCTCACCAAACGTGAGATTCCTCATAAACAAAATGGGAGGAGCTGCAATCAGAGATTTACTACAGCCGGGACGGGACACTAGACCATGTGTACAGTAACATTAAATGGGCCTACAGAGCAACACCCCTCCCCCGCCTAGTACAATCTGACCTGCTCTCTTTGCTCCTTATCCCTACCTACATCCACCTCAGTCCTCCAAGCACTTGGGTCATTAAAACATGGCCAGATGACACTCGCCTCCAGCTACAGGACTGTTTTGATCTAACAGCCTGTTCCATCTTCGAACAGCGGGACCTGGAAACCTGCACTCACTCTGTCCTTTTCTGTATTAAGTGTTGTGTGGCGAATGTGATAATGACTAAAACCCATCTGTTTTTCATAACCGAAAACCTTGGATGATGGGTAAAGTACCGGCACGGATCAGAACTCGTAACTCAGCCTTCAGGCTGAGGGACAGTTCCATGTACAGCGCTCCCACAGCCAACCTGAGGAAGGTATCCAACAGGCCAAGGAGGCCTACAGGAGGAGGACAGACGGCTTCCTCATTGATAACAACCCCCACCAGGTGTGGAGACCTCCAAGCCCTCACCAACTACAAAGGCCTTTTTACCAGGATTTTGATGAAGGTTTTGCTGTCAACCTCGATTAAGCTAATTGTGCGATAAGAGCCACACTTGTCAGGGGGTTTTATCCTTTTTAAGGATCAATGACATATTTGCTGTATACAATGACCTTGGGAGGGAGCCTGTCATTGCTGAGTGGAGATACATATTTGAGAGAGGCACTTTTAGTCAGTCCTAAATTATCTTATAAAATTCAGGTCCTTATCCATTCAGTCAAGGAGCTTTTCCATTCTGTAAAGCATTAATTACTTTTACATCTCCTTTTACTCTTTTACAACAGAACCAGGGTCGGCTGTGACTACCTGGGGGTGAGGGTAAGAGAGGCGAGCAAAGAGACACTGAAAAAAACAAACTGGGAGAAAGGGATAACGTTCCAGCATGCAGGAACAGTCATTAAAATTATAATTTGTATTCTATTTGATAAATCTTTTTGTCTGTTCTTCATCTAGCTCAACAGCTGTTCACCTAATCTGCAAATGGTGGGTGCATGCAAAGTCTGATGCTGTGTGGTTGAGCAGTTCTCACATTTTGCCTTTTACCTAAAAGTTGTTCTCTAGAGAGACTGCTCCATTCTGTGCAGGAGGAGGGACACACATACACAAGCATGTTTGTTTGGCTCTCTTTGTGTGTGCATTCATTTACATTAATGCATTCCCAAGATTCCTACACCTGCATTTAACCATTGCAGAGATTTACTCAAACTCTAAAGTAAAGTAACTTTAAACCCTGAAACTGCGCTCTGAAGGATAACTTTTAACAGAATTTCACTGCACCGATAGTCTAAAACTCACTTTATTATTTTCTCTTTCATTCCCTGCCACAACTGGCATCCATCACTCACTCACTCATGTAATTTAGATGAGAAAGCTAAACCCTATATTCTGCCCAGCCAAGTTTGTAATGGGCACAATCACAATCACTGAATCAGCCTTTAGCTGGCTTCTTTTCAAAACAATAACTTTGACTGTCTTGTGAAGGCATCTGTACACTGTAACTACAAAATATAACCTGGGTTACACAGGCACTAGTTTTATTCATGAACAGCCCTTAACTGATTTTTTTTTTTTTTTTTTTTTTAACTTTTAAAGAGGGAGGAACAGAGGACGATGTAGAGTGGAGGAAGATGCATACAGGTCGATTAGATGCAATCTGAAAGAGATGGGAGACTTCAGTTGATCCAAAATGCTGCAGCAAGAGTACTGACACGGACTGGAAAGAGAGCGTATTTCATCCATACTGGCTCCCTGTTAAATCCTCCTAATATATTAAAAAGTAGAGCAGGAGGCAGAGCCTTCAGCTTTCAGGCCCCTCTTCTATGGACCCAGCTCCCAGTTTAGATTCAGGAGACAGACACTATCTCTACTGTTAAGATCACGCTTCTAACTTTCCTTTTTGATAAAGCATATAGTTAGGGCTGGATCAGATGACCCTCAATCCTCACTTAGTTATGTTGCAATAGGCGTAGACTGCTGGGGGATTCCCATGATGCACTGAGCGTTTCCTCTTCACTTACTATGTGTTTATACACCTCTCTGCATTTAATCATTAGTAATTATTATTATCTCTGGCTCTTTTACACAGCATGTCTTTTTTCCCGTCTCCCTTCCTTCATCCCCAACCAGTTTTCAAAGGACAAGGTTAGCAAAGAAAAAATGGAATAGCTAAGGACATAAAGAACGTAGACATGCATATAGGGAGACTAGGTGTGGAAAAGAAAAGGTTTAATTTCATCAAGCACTGGGAACATGTCCAAGACACCATCCACTAGAGTCAAAGCATTTTGGAGAAGACGAGATGAGATTACATACCTGTCAACTTCATCACGTGTCACAATATCACCTTTCTTCAGGGCTTTGATGGCATACATTTTACCTGACCTCTTATACTCTGCTAGCAGCACCTTGCATCAAATAAAAGAAACAGAAGTAATGTGGCTTAGTAGATGCACACATGGTATAAATTAGAAAATCCTAGGTGTCTTCCTTCTTGATTTACAGGATTTTCAGAAAAACTTGATCTCTGACCTTAGCTTTGAGGTCAAGGTCACTGAGATTTGAATTCAGATTTGCAATCACTACATTGCAATAGTTGCATATAAATTGTATTCCATGTTTAATGAAATGTTGCAGTCCCACTGTTGCCTTACAAATATAGGAAAGTAAGTTTAATGTATACCTTTCCAAAGTGACCTCTCCCTAGGACTGAAATACACTTGAAGTCTTCTATTTGAAGCCCTTTATCCTTCCTGCATGAGGATACAAAAGTGCACATGTTTATGTCCTGAAAGATTCCTTCATTGATTTCAGAGAAAAAAAAAAAGAATAAATAAAAATCAGTGTCTTTGTTACCAGAAACTAGAGAAGCAAACTTCAAACATTTATGTTACTGAGACGTGAACCTTCCGTTTGGATCCCAAACGAACATCTTCAAATATTTCATCTACACAGAATATCTACACATATCGACACAGAACCTTTAGATGTATATTACTTTAGAACTGGAACCACAGGAAGTTAAGTGTGGTTTATTTTTACTTATCCTATTTCACAGAAGGAAATAAAATCTTGGGTTGGTGATCTGGAGTACCCAAAAACTGTCTAATCAAACCTAACAAATTCACAAACATTAAGAAAAAAAATAAATCAGTATGACTTACAGTGTAGGTGGAAGAACAGACGGTTGTCTCTTTGGCTTTGGACTCTTGTTCTCATTGGAAGACTGTTTTTTTTTTTTTTTTTGCAAAACAGAAAATAGATGAACTGACAGAAAGTGAATCCTTACAGAAAAACAAGAGCAGTATGCGAGCCAAAGCTGTAAATTCCCTCCACACCATCCATGAATTCAAAAGAGACTGATCCCAACCCTGATTACTTTAGGATACTTTCTAGAAAACATTATGATAATACGTTTCAGTTTTTATTACTTCAATTTGATATCTATTTGTAAAGATATGACGCCAAAGTTCAGTTTTTCTCATCTCTCACAATACTAAATATTTTTTCCATAAATTCCTGGATCCAGAACTGGATTAACTCCAAAAGGTTGTCACATCTGAATTGAACCATGCACCAGTACTGTAACCATTTTCATTCAAATCATCCATAACTTTTTGAATATTCCTGGTAACAAACTGGACTAATCAGTTGCCTCCTCAGACCATAGATGATTAGTTTAGTTATTTTGTTAAACACGTTACAAATGCATCTAGTGTTTGTATTCATTTGTCACGCAGACGGGAAGCTTACCAGTGGGGAGTTTTTACTGTTCTTTCTTATGGAATGTGGAGATCTGCCTGGTGGTTCTTCAGCAAAATTCAGACTCATTACTTCAGGTTCTCTTAAATAAACCAGAACAAAATATAGTTTATTACACTGTACCATTCTGCAGTTATTGTCTTGAATTAAGAAACTGACAAATAAATCATTAAAAATGATACAAACTTCAATAAACAAAAAGGGCGAGCCATTAGAAAAAAGAAAAATATTAAATATAAAAAAAATATTAAATTTGTCTCATATTAATACAACAGAAATCAGATCAAACCCGAAAACAGGTCTATATTACAAGCGGTACTTAATCTAAAGTAGACCCATCTCCGTCTGTGTGGAGCCTGCATGCTCCCCATGTGTCTGTGAGGGCTTCCTCCCACAGTCAAAGGCATACATGATGTGAGGCAGAGTGCTTTAAGTATATAAATATATTTGAATTATATCTAAATGTATGAGTAAAATGCAACATGATTCTTTTGGATTGCCCAAAACAATTCCATTCATGAGCTGAATAAATCCTGATTAAGGTATACCAACCTCATAAGGATAGCATCAAATCTTTTAAACAGATAAAAGATGAGCTTAACATCAGCAATAGACTTCTTCTGCTATTTAAAATTAAGAAATGTCTTAATGTGACACGAGGAGTGGGAAAAAGTTAGAGAAAATGGGGGTGAGAAATTTATAACTGCAAATACTACATTACAAGTAAAAAGGAAATCTGCAACGGAGCACACAGGGTAACAAGCTCAAACTCTTGGAGAGAATTCAAATGGAACGGCCCACGCCACTAATACATGCTGGAGAAAATGTGGTACACATACTGGGACTTGCATACATATATTCTGGCCATGTGCAGAGTTAGATATTGGAAGAACGTTTTCTGTGCGCTCACCAAAATTTGGCTAAAGAAGATTATTGGTGGCAGCAATTACATGCATTACAATTAGACGGCTGAAGGCCGACACTCCAACTTATCACATGTGGTTGGATAGACTTTGGGAAATCTGACTAATGGAGCAAATCTCGTACTACCTAAGGCTTTAGAAACACTTATTTATTAGGAGATGGAGACTTAATTTTACATTTTTTCAACAACGAAGAGAGAGAAACACATTAGCGGGCTAGAAGGGGGCATGGAATTTTAAATTTAAATCTGATTAATGGGGTTTCCTCTCTATTATTGTAAGGTCCTTATTGGGGGCAACTGTTGTTGTGATTTGGCACTATATTCATTTTTTTTTAATGAAATCTTAATTAAATTCTCTTTATAACATCTATGAGCATTTTCTCATTCAATTGGTCAAATGACCCTTGCAAAAACAAACTACCAACAATCATGTATGTATTCTTTCTGTAGTGTAAGTTTTTGTTGCTGTGTATTTTTCCCTCCACTAATTTTTCTTGTATGTCTGCACAGGGTTTTTTTGGAGAGCAAGAAAATATAGAATCACACATTTTTATAACCTTCAATAACATTACACAACCACTCCAAATACAGTCCAGTGATAACATTAGATTCAGCCTTCCAGTCAAGTTAATCTGTCCAGTCTGATAATATGAGCAGAAAAACAGCCTAAAGCAAACAACTTATTATTTCACTCTTTCATAGATGTCACAAAGAGATATTTCTGGGTCACAACACAGAGCCTTACTGTGCTGGTGAAAGAGCTGATGTAGTACTGGGCGCTGCTAATGGAGGGCTCATGGGCTCCAGTGAGTTGCAAGGAGGCAGGATGCTCATCATCAAACGGCCCCAAGCAGCAAAGTTCATGTTCATTTGGGCGGCACGCAGGAAGTGCTTCCCTGTGAGCAGGAATGATGGGAGAAAATTAAATCTGAGCTACATGACTGAAAAGGTTTTACATGCAGCAAATACTATGTAAAGAGAAAATGCAGTGCTCAAAAAACTTTGAAAACACCTCAGATCTCAATGGGAAAAGAAGCCATGTGGATATCTCCACTGATGTGGAATAAATAATGTATTATGAATGAAAGGTTACCACATTGTTTGATGGCAATGAAAGTACAGAGGGCTGAATTTAAAAACACCCCAAAAATTAAAGTGAAAAAACAAAACAAAAAAAACAACGATGCTGCAGACTGAAATTTTATTGCAGTAACTCAGAATGGCACTCAGCAGTTTGTATAGCCTCCACATGCTCAGAGGTATTATGTTTGATTTAAGTCATGCAAGTGTGGGGACAGTCAAAGGAATAAATTCCTTAATTTTCCACGAACTTCCAGCATATTCTCCCCACATGAGGCTGGGCATTGTCATGAACCAGGAGGAACCCAGGACCCACTATACCAGTGACAATGAGTCCAAGAGTTTCAACCTGATACCTAAAGGTAATCACGGTGTCCTTGCCTAGCCTGTAGAGTTCTATGCATCCCTCCATGGATATGCCTCTACAGACCATTACTGACCTACCATTAAACCAGTCGTGTTGACCAATGTTACAGGCAGCATAATGTTCTCCATGGCTTCTCCAAATCCTTTTAACATCTGCCACATGGGAACCTACATGGGAATCTGTAAAAACCCCAAAGCACCAGTTCTGGTAATCTACAGGGTGGGCCATTTATATGGATACACTGTAATAACATGGGAATGGTTGGTGATATTAAAGTCCTGTTTGTGGCACATTAGTATATGTGAGGGGGCAAACTTCTCAAGATGGGTGGTGACCATGGTGGCCATTTAGAAGTCGGCCATCTTGGATACAACTTTTGTTTTTTTCCCCCCCCCCATAGGAAGAGGGCCATGTGACACATCAAACTTATTGGTAATGTCACAAGAAAAACAATGGTGTGCTTGGTTTCAACGTAACTTTATTCTTTCGTGAGTTATTTACAAGTTTCTCTTTGTTCGCAGCCATTGACATGTCGAAGAGGTTAACACGTGAGGAACGGATCGAAATTGTGTTGATATCTGGTGAACGCAGTAACCGGGTCATTGCAGCAGATTTCAATGCAAGACACCCTACGAGACCACCCATCTCCCATGCTACAGTTAGCAAACTGCTTGCTAAGTTTCGTGAAACTGGTTCAGTGTTGGATTTGCCAAAATGTGGACGCAAGAAAACCGTCACTAATGAAGAAACATCAGAGGCTGTCCTAGCTTCATTCAGCAAGAGCCCACAGCGTAGCACTCGCCGCATGTCACTGGAGAGTGGCATTAGTCAAACATCCCTTCGGTGGATATTAGCTACTCACAAATGGCACCCTTACAAACTCCAGCTACTGCAGCATCTCAACGAGGATGACCCAGATCGGCGCACAGAATTTGCAGAATGGGCAAAACAAAAATTGGAACAGGACCCTCAGTTCATGCAGAAGATTTTGTTCAGTGATGAGGCAAACTTTTATGTGAATGGTGAAGTTAACAAACAAAACCACCGCTATTGGTCTGACGCTAACCCACATTGGATGGATCCCTACAAGACTGTTGGACCAACAAAAGTGATGGTTTGGTGTGGTATATATGGTACAACGATAGTGGGTCCATTCTTCATCAATGGTAACCTCAAGGCCACTGGATATTTGAAATTGCTACATGATGATGTGTTTCCCTCTTTATGCACTGAAGCTGGCACGTTCCCTGAGTTTTTCCAGCAAGATGATGCACCACCACATTATGGGTGCCAGGTCCAAGCATTCCTAGATGAACAGTTTCCTGGAAAGTGGATTGGTCGTCGTGGGCCAGTTGAATGGCCCCCATGTCTCCCGATCTGACCCCCTTAGACTTTTATCTTTGGGGTCATCTGAAGGCAATTGTCTATGGTGTGAAGATACAAGATGTGCAGCACCTGAAACTACGGATACTGGATGCCTGTGCTGACATTTCTCCTGCGGTGTTGCTATCAGTGTGTGAAGAGTGGGAGAAGAGGGTTGCATTGACAATCCAACACAATGGGCAGCACATTGAACACATTTTATAAGTGGTCAGAAACTTGTAAATAACTCATGAAGGAATAAAGTTATGTTGAAACCAAGCACACCATTGTTTTTCTTGTGACATTACCAATAAGTTTGATGTGTCACATGGCCCTCTTCCTATTGAAAAAACAAAAGTTGTATCCAAGATGGCCGACTTCTAAATGGCCACCATGGTCACCACCCATCTTGAGGAGTTTGCCCCCTCACATATACTAATGTTCCACAAACAGGACTTTAACATCACCAACCATTCCCATGTTATTACGGTGCATCCATATAAATGGCCCACCCTGTATAGTAAATGGCTCCAGTGTGGCAGACAGAGTCCACATGCCCCACGTGAGGATGTCAGCCCTCCCTCATGACCTTATAAGGCCCGGTGTTTCTAATTGTTCGGTCAGAGACACTGACACCAGCAGCCAGCTGGAGGGCATTTTGTATCTCTGGTAGTGCTCATCTTGTTCTTCCTTACACAGATACTGGTCCTGCTGATGGGTTAGCCTTCTACAGCCCTGTCCAGCTTTCCTAGAGTAACTGCCTGTATCCAGGACTCACCTCTATGTTCTTAAGACTGTTCTGTTACCAGCAAACCTTCTGGTAATGACATGTATTGATGTGACATACTGAAGGAGTTGGACCACGTGTGCAACCCATGCAGGGGTCCAGGTATCACCTCATGACACCAGTAGTGACACTGAGCCTAGCCAAAAGCAAAATTACTCAAAAAACATGCAGAAAAAATGAAGAGGGAAAAATGTCAGCGGGTCTCCATCTGTAAAGCCATTCCTGATTTTGGGGTTGTCTTCTGTTGCCCCTCTAGTGAACCTGTTATTAATTTCATTACCACCAAACCAGATGAAAGTGATTAACACCCACCGCTGCCATTTAACTGACCAGATCAAAATGTCAGAAGTTTATGTGAGATGCAATACTCTGAGAAAAAAAAAAGAAAAAGTGTTCCTTCTCAAATAGTCTTTTTTTCTTGAAATACAGTACATGTAACCATATTCTCTAAACATTTGCTTAGTAATATTTAAAAAACAATTGGTACCAGAGGGTTTCTGATTTGTTGTGTGCACATAAAACAGCTTGGCTACAAAACCTACAGATCAGCTGATATCAAAGCACACATAATGCTCAGCTGATATGCCATTGTATATATAGCATGCCCTACTGTACCCAGTAGGGCATGCTATAAAAGCCACTTGACCTGTCCATCATTGGACACCTGCCAGCTGCTCTTATCGTAGTGACACTTTGCACAGACACACCAGGAGCAACATTTTATGTCTATCTGTCAAAGCTAAAGAGGAGATGAAGTAGACTATAGCAATTCTAAGTAAGAAAGATTGTGAAAGCATCCAAGAATTGTTTCAGAGGTTCTAGATTTAAAACAGTGCTGAGAGAAACGAGCAGTCACAAAATAAGTATCCTTACTGTGGACATAATGAAGTTTCATTTTGCATTATTTATGTAATTACTATCAGTATGAAAAGGGTGAGATAAAGGTTTAGCATCAAATGCAATAAACAGAAAATGATCAGATTTTCCATTCAAGAACTGCCTGATAACAACTGAAATGGTCAAGGATAAATCGACATTTATCAACAAATCTAAAAAAAAAATAAAAAATGGAAAAAATATTAATAATTGGTGCCACCTTTTTCTTTAGGGAAAATTCGCTTCTGCCTCTGGAGCTTGAAGGGACGCTCAATGACAGGATTTATAAATGTCACCTGGAAATGAACAGAGAAAGCGATCAGGATACAGTTACAGAATCTATACTGTACATGTGTTTAACCATGGGATACCCCTCTGAAATGACATAACCTAAGCTTGTGGCCATGTCCATCTTTTATGTACGGTCTATGCATGCCACAGAGGTAAATAAACAGTTTGAAGACTAGATATGAACAGGAGAACCTCAATAAAGAGAACGCCCTGCGGCTCCAGCTGGAGGCACATGCCATGTCGCTGGTTATCAAGGAAGTCTTCAAGCCGCAAGAACTTCACTCCACTTAATGCTCGCCAGTCTCTCCAGTACACAGCAATTTCCAGCTCCCTGGACTAGACCAACACACAGAAACATGCACACGTATGTGCACACACATGGATTACAATTCAGATATTTTCCTCATTTCATATTTAATTTGCATTAATTCTTGTTTCTGAATTATTACATTTGGTGTGAGGGATGTTCTGTTTTCAAAATAGCTACAAACAGGTTTCACTCACTGTCATTCTTAGTCTTTACCATTTACAATTTATTAAACTTAAAAACCCCGAATTTTGAGAGAAACAGACAGACAGATTTGGTAATCAACTAACATTTAGAAATGTTAAAATGTAAGGTAATAAGATATTTTACTTTAGGACGCGACAGTTAGAAAGAAAATTGGTGAACTTCATGAGTTCAAGATGAAATAGAACAATAAAAAAACAACTTCACTCAAACAACTATGGTCAAGTGATTATTTATTATACATACCTACATTTAAAAATTATTTTTTTATTATGAGGTTTTTCCTATTAGTCATCTACACCAGTCAGCCACAACACAAAACCCTTCTGCCTAACATTTTGTAGGTAATTCCAGAATACACAGCTACATAGTCCTACAGGCAATGCTCAGTGGCTAGTGGATCTAAGAGCAGACCGCAGCAACCTCACTGAACATGGTCCAGTGGCCACCACAGTGGCAGAAATTCGAGGAAAGGGTCTCCAGTATGAAGAGCTGGACAGCACCAGCCCCTGAACCATGTCATGCAGTGCAGTGAGCTTCTTCAGCCAGTAGGGCTGAAGAAGCTCACTGCACTGCATGAGCATCTGGCAGTACAAATGAAACAGCTGCTAGTCGATGAGAGACACCCAGAATGGCTTACTGAAGGCGGGACAGTCCTGATCCCCAAGGACCCTCAGAAGGGTCCAGTCCCATCCAAATACCAGCCAATAACCTACCTCAGTACCACATGGAAGCTGCTGTCAGGCATCAAAACAGCTAAGCTGAACGGGCACATGGCGCAATACTCGAGTGGGGCACAGAAAGGAATTGGCAAGAATACCAGAGGGGCAAAAGACCAGCTAAGGGAGGACAGAGTAGTCGCCTGAGACTGAAAGACTAGAATGACCAACCTGTGCACTGCCTGGATTTATTACAAGAAGGCCTATGACTCAATGACCCACACCTTGAATGCCTTGAACAGTACAAGATCAACAGGACCCCAAGAGCCTTCATCAGGAACTCAATGGGAATGTTGCGTATGACACTAGAGGCCAACTTGAAGCCCATAAAACAGGTCGCCATCAAGTGTGGGGATCTACCAAGAAGATGTTCTGTCCCCAGTGGTGTTTTGCACAAGCCTGAGCCCCCTCAGTGAGATCATTGACAAGATTACATACGGGTACCAACTACAGAATGGAGCAATTGTCAGCCACCTACCCTAAATGGATGACATCAAGCTGTATGCCAAGAGTAAATGAGACATCGATTCACTGATCCACACCTTCAGCATCTCCAGCATCTCCAGCAAGGACATGTCGTTCAGATTGGAGAAGTGTAGTCGGATGGTGACAAAGAACTGGAAGGTAGTCAGAACTGAAGGGATCAAACTATCAGAAGGCAACATTGCCAACATTGAGAACAACTACAAGTACCTGGTAATACCACAAGCAAATGCGAACCATGAAGAGGCTGCTAGAAAAGCTGCAACAAAAACACAGAGGGTCAGGCAAGTGCTGAGAAGTCAGGTGAACAGTAAGAATAAGATCCATGCTACCAACACCTACGCCCTGCCCGTGATCAGGTACCCCTGCTGAGACAATAAGCTGCCCAAAGGAAGAGACGGAAGGCACTAACATCAAGACAAGGAAGCTCCTGACCATGCATGGAGGGTTTCCCCCCCAAGTCCAGCACCCTGAGACTGTATGCTAATCGAAAGGAAGGAGCCCGGGGACTGGTGAGTGTCAGCACCACAGCCCAGGATGAGACAACGAACATCCACAAGTTCATCAGCAAAAAGATGGCCACGACTGACTACTCAGGCAGCAGAAATGCAAGAAAGAGGAGCAAGAGGAAGAACCATCATGGAAGGGCAGGCCCCTGCATGGTATATACTACCGGAAGATACAGGAAGTGGCTGACATCCCGAAATCGTACCAGTGGCTGGACAACACTAAATTGAACGACAGCACAGAGGCACTAACAGGAAAGGGCAGAGCAGGCTGTACCTGCTGTGGAGACTCAGGTCTTTTGGAGTGAAGGGCCCACTCCTGAAGACCTTCTATGACTGTGGTGGCCTCAGCCATCTTTTACGGTGTGGTCTGCTGGAGTGGCAGCATCTCTGCTGGGGAAAGGAAGAGACTAAACAGGCTGATCCGGAGGCCCAGCTCTGTTCTAGGATGCCCTCTGGACCCAGTGGAGGTGGTGAGTGACAGGAGAAAGGTGGCTAAGCTGTCATCCCTGTTGGACAACATCTCCCACCCCATGCAGGAGACTCTGACAGCACTGAGCAGCTCCTTCAGTGGCAGGCTGCTGCACCCACGATGTGGGACGGAGAGATTTCACAGGTCTTTCCTCCCCACTGCTGTCAGACTCCACAACAAAGACTTCAACTGATCAAACACACGCATCCACACATGCGCAATAATACTAAGTGCAATACTCTTTTCTGGGATCGTTGTATTATACTCAATTGTATATAGCATTTGTATTCTATTTTTATTCAATTGTATATAGTATTTTATTCTATTCTATTGTGTGCAGTATCTTATTGATATCTTATTCTAGTGTTTATTTTTTTCTATGTAACTTTGCACTGTGCACTGCTGTAACAAAACAAATTTCCCACACGTGGGACTATTAAAGGTTATCTTATCTTAATCATGGCAGCACAAGAACAAGCTCTAATCACAAGATCCATAGAGGCTGGGGTCTATACCAGGCAAGACCCCAGGTGCAGGCTGTGTAAAGTTACCCCTGAGACAATCCAGCACAAATGGACCGCCATAACCAAGTGGCCATCTGTGCAGAGTATAGCCTGAAAGTCCCGAGGTCAAAATGGGAGACACCCCGGTCCAGAATGACCAAGCTAAGATCCTGTGGGATTTCCAGATGCAGACGGACAAAATAGTGATGGCTACCCAACTGGACATGGTAGAGGAAGATGGCTGTAGTGACAGATGTAACGAGCAACATCAGGAAAAAGGAACACGAGAGGCTTGAGAAGTACCAAGGGCTCAGAGAAGAGCTTGAGAAAATGTGGAAGGTGAAGGTAACAGTGGTCCCAGTAATAATCGGAGCACTAGGTGCGGTCACTCCCAAACTAGGCGAGTGGCTCCAACAGATCCCAGGAACAAAATCCAAGATCTCTGTCCACAAGAGCGCAGTCCTAGGAACAGGAAAGATACCCCAAGGGACCCTCAAACTCTCAGGCCTCTGGTAGAGGAACAGAGCTTGAAGGAACAAAAGACCGCCCGCAGGGGCGAGGGGAATTATTTACAAGAGGACTCTGACACGGCTGACTATCTCATGTTTTGTTAGACACAAAATCAGCATGATTTCAGGTCTGAGTCAGTTCGGGATCCGATTTTTATATGTGCCAGTGCCTCGGGAAAAAAAAAAAGACCTCACAATCCGACTCTGGGAGGAATAAGTATTTACGCAAGTAACAGAAAATCTTTTTCGTTTCTTCTGACTACTAGTATGAAGAGGTTATACAATATCTCTGACCGCAAAGGAAAACTGTGTGAATTCTTGTCCTAAACATTATACAAAAAGGTACTTTTACACATCACACATTCTGCTTCTAAAATGATTTTTATGTCTGAAATTTGACTCTTCACAAGGACAAATTTGTTTACAGAATGACAGTTGCAAGAAAAATACAGTGAGTTGAATTATCAGGATTTTTTGCCTTGATTCACTAAACAAAAATTGGCTTTATATAAATAAATAAGCAGTTCTACTTTTCTGGATACACTCACCTTTTATAATAAAATAAATACAGAAACACTGGAAACAAAAGGTTCAAACTTTCTTTATAGAGAAAGAATGGGCAACAACTACTTTTTTAACTATTTTTCATGTTATTCCAGTTTGTAATGTAGTCTCTGTCAATCAGAACAAAGTTGGTTTAAAGGGAGCTAAAACGAAATTTGATGAGAATAAATATCGTTAATATTAAAAAGCGACACATGGAAGGCTACTCCAGCAGTCGCTAAGAAGAAAAGAAGTGAACTGTGGAGTTGGAGAAGAATAAGCCCATGCTGTGAATCTGAGGATAAAAGATTCTTCTTTCCTTCACCAAGCTGAGATCCCATGCTGTCTGTGAACAAGATTTTTTTTTTTCTTCATAAAACAAAGAAAACTACCAAGCCAAATCCCCTGAAATTGGTGAAGAGATAGAGAATGGGCAAAGACACAATCAACTGAATTTTGGTGCAGGTGCAAATCACTTTCTTCAAAGCTGCGTTGTTCTTGACAGAGAATAACCTATTTGCATGCACGTGTAGTCTGAAACCTAACTAATTTAACGCTGTCATAATATATTAGTGATGATTTGAAATAATCCTTAAAGCAAGTACATGGCAGCCACTGACCCGTTCTAGTTCAATGCTGAAGCTCTGGCCCCAGGCCTCTTTGCCCAGCTGTCTCCACTGTGTGCGCCCCACTACTCTGTTGTCAACCTTCAGCACTGCACTTATCTCCGCTGAAAAACAAAGAAAACAGATGCAGTCAGAAAACTAATCAAAACGAAAACCTGTAAGTTACCATAAATTCAGGGCTTACTACATTTCTTAGACCTAATGTCATAAAAACAGGAAAACAAGCAATTTAGAAATCTTTCAAAATGTATATGGAGAAACATCTACCTCAGTAAGAAATAGACTCATATTATCAAGTCTTCAAAGATTAACAAACCGCCGAAGAATGTCTCCACGAGGAACTAGGAAATGTAAATAATTTAGATCATGGTCATGAGGACCAGGATTAAAACTACTTTTAGTATGAATTATGTTACCCACGGAAATGCTCCTAAACTTCAGTAACTCTTGGGTGGGGTCTGCAGAGTTAAAGAGGCAGCAGAACCCACAAGACTGCCATGATCCAAACATTTCTGAGTGGCTGGAAGCTGACTGAAATTAAAATGGTGCAAAGATTTGGCCATGTCTACAGAGCTTGTAAAATACTTTTGCTTATTTTCAGTCCTGCAATTTTGGTGGAAAAAACCTTGAGCCTGTCTGTATTTCTTACTTGTATTGTCTGTTTTTGTTACTGTTTGTACTGGAGCACTGTAACCAACATAATTTCCCCTAGGGATCAATAAAGTATTCTGATTCTGATTGTTTTTGTGTATCCTTCAAGTGTTTTGAATCTGCGTTGCTGCTTTTGTTCACCTCTTTTTTTCTTCTGAAAAGCAGTAAATCACCACCAACTGTAGCATAACACACTTACAGTTGGTACAGAACTGTGTCACAATAATTCCTATAATAGCTACTGTGGTGTGAATGAGACACGGTGGGTCCAGGGATCATAGGTTTGAGCCATTTTATTCAATATTTGTCACACCACAACACTCCAACCCCTGAGTCCCCGTGTTTTTAACTAGGCGGGCGTGGTCTGCGGTGCCGTGCAGGGAGGGTTGACGCACCTGCATGGCATCCTTAATCACGCCCGCCAGCACAGTTACCTAATGGACAGGAGTAGTTTGTTTTGTGTACAGTCCATCCATTCATTCCACTTAATCCAGCCCCTCCCAGTTACAATGGGGTGACAGGCGGGAAACACCCTAGAGAGGTTGCAAGCCTGTCGTAGGGCTAACACAGAGAGACAGATATCTAGATCCAGATAACCTACAGTCTGAAAGAACCTTTCAGTTACTGGGACAAAATATCTAATGGAAATGTAGCTAATACTCGACTACAACTTCAGGTTTGTATTGAAATACAAAAATGTTCGTCTTGTCAGTTTTACCATTTCTGAAACCAATTACTTGTTAGTTTAAGTGTCCATTACTGGATTTTTGCATTTTATGACACAAAGAAAATTAAAAGGTCTAAAAAAAAAGTAAAAAAAAAAAAAAAAGTTGACTTACAGGAAATGTCTTCAGCCTTGGCACTGCGTCCGGTTCGTACCTTCAGAGACTTCATATCCGAGATGCTCCCAGAGGTGGTTGAGACACTGGTCACACAACTACGGCCTGGAACTGACTCCAACAGGTCCTGGCAACCCATCAAACATACCTCCAAACGACCTAAGGAAAAGTGTTTCAGTCATTAGTTCTTACTTGGGATATAACATTACTGAAAATTCAATGGAAAGCTGCTTCAGGTAAAAAAAAAAAAAACATTTTAAATTTAAATGTTGTTATGAACGGTTATTTAATAAAATGACTATCAAAATTTTGCTTTAAAAGAGTCTAGCAGACTTAAACAACCTGTTAGACTGGCTGGTTTGAAGAAGGATGAAGATGAAGAAGAGGCTGGAGCCTGGGAGTGTTTCTTTGGAGTGCCGTAAGAAGGTGAGGTGCCTACTATTAAAGCCTCTTTAATGGTAGCATGTGTGGGATGATCATGAGCCAGCTCACATAAACGTCTCTCCAACGAGAGACGCAACAAATCCACCTTTTGAGATGACTCCTGCATTCGCGCCTGGGCCTGAAGGATACAGAAATGCAATCTCTGATGCAACAATATTAATAATTATGTTGCAATTAATTGCAAACATATGGAGTTCAGATTATATCTCAATCTGTATGTATGCATGTAATCAGATTTATATTTACGCACTGAAATTTGGAAATGTGTATTGTAATCTGCTCACTATGCAAAAATATCATAAAAACATGAGCTGTACATAGACATAGACTGTAAATATGAACACAATTTGAAAAACCAGTAATACCCAATTGTTTGGGTTCACTTCTAATCAAACTACTAAACAAAAGTAGTTTTTTGATCTAATCTATCATGAAACTGACCATAAGTGTTTTAAATGACAAAAAAACATGTATATGTGTGCTTCAGTATCACCCTGACAAAGGATGCTTCTAATTTTAGAGATATTGCACAAATAAATCAAGGCAAATAGTGAATGGAATGGTTTTTCTATAGCACCTCTCAACTCACTTTGAGCACTCAAACCACACATACAGCAAAGTGCATTTAACAAACATTCACACACATACACATTTATGAATGCATCAGAGGCAATTCAGGCTTCAGTATCTAGGAGTCAGGGATTGACTGTGATTGGTAGATCACCTGCTCTACCACTCGAGCCACAGCCATCCCAGGGCAGTTCTACATATTGTGGAATATATTGTGAAGGTCACCTTGAACTCAACTGTAGTTCAAAAATGTTCATTCTAACTATTTATAGCCATCGTGTTCTTGTTGTAGCTGTTAGGTTGGTGAAAGTGAAGACATTCCAGCTGGTACCCACTTCTGCAAGTATTCGGCGGTCCTGGACTTTATGCCCGCTCAGTTGCTTCACCACATTTTTGGCTCCTTCTGCTACAGCTGATTCAATCTTCATGTGGTGAATTAATTCAGCAACTCGCAGCTCCACAGGACTGATCATCTCCATAGAATGACCTTAGTGCAGATGAACAAAACAGTCACCACCACCACCAGTAATCACCACTGTACTAAAATTAGTAAAATATCAATTATTAACATGTCTAAGGAACTTGGAAAGAAAAGCATCTGGACTTCTTTAAGTTGTTTTAGGACATTTCACCTCTCATCCGAGAAGCTTCTTCAGCTCTAAGAGCAATTGATGGAGAGTCCCCAAGAGGATCATGGACCCCCCCATTGATCCTCTGCATAATCACTTGAGCCAAGGTCTGAAAATGGGTGTGGTTCACAATCAGCGAAGGTTTCAGGTGAACCCATTGTGAGATGTAGCCCCACCTTATCATGTGATTTACTGAGATCTCTACTGGGATCTCAAAACTGGATTATAGATGGCAGACAGCTGATGTCGTAAGCACCGCCCTCTGTTCAAAGAGAGCCGTTCACAGTTGACATAGATGGCTTCTTTCACTTATCTCAAACCATCTGTCTTCTCTGTCCTAAATTTTAACAGTGGCATCCTCAAAATAATGACCTTTGACCTTTAGATGCAGATGAACAGCTGAGTCTTGTCCTGTTGAGGTGGCTCTTCCATGTTGTGAGATGCGTTTATGAAGTGGCTGTTTGGTCTCTCCAATGTAGAGGTCTGAGCATTCCTCACTACACTGCACCGCATACACTACGTTGTTAATTTTGTGTTTGGGAGTTTTGTCTTTGGGATGAACCAGTTTGTGTCTGAGTGTGTGGCTGGGTCTGGGACTCTAACCTAACTTAAAGAAGTCCAAACGCTTTTCTTTCCAAGCTCCTTAGACTACGATGACCTGGAGGACTAAGAACCTTCACAGACATTTCCATAACATCTAAGCACACTCCAACTACTTAAGACCATAAGACACAGAACAGAATACAAATTCATTTGCATTCAATATACCGTAATTGTCGGGCTATAAGCCGCTACTTTTTGCACAAGCTTTGAACCCTGCAGCTTTTAGTCAGGTGCGGCTTTTCTATAGATTGTCCATGATTTTTGTGATATCGTAAGACGATTTGTTTTGTTTGTTCCGCTGTTGTACGGCACTACGTTGCCTGGCGGAAGGATCGGGGTTCAAGAGTGGTATGTTGGTCACATGTCCATCCGCCAGGCAACATAGTGCCGTACAAGTAGCGCGAAAAACAAACTTGAAAGTAGCGCTACGCGTTCAGCGGGAGTCGTGGATGACGAGCGGCGATAAACTTGCGAAAAGCAAGTTGTGCTCAACTCCACCGGTGGATTCTGACAGCGTGGAAAAGTGTGAAAACATCCACGATCACCAACGGATTTCGAAGGGCTGGACTGCTGCATGATGGAGAGGAGGACACCGCCACGGCCCTTCTGAGGGTGTTTGACTCCGACACTGACAATGACAATGAGGATTTCTTTGGTTTTGAAAGTGACAACGAAGGAAAGAAGCTGAGAGTGGATGACGAAGCCATCCTGATCCTGTTCGTTTCCGACACTGGAGAAGAGGACTTTGGTGGTTTTAGTGCGCAGGAAGAAGAGAAAGATGGTGGTGAATGACTGACTTTTCTTCTTGTTAAAGCCGTGTCACTGCACCTGAGCCTAAAAGGTAGTCCGAATCTATTTTTCTGGTGTGCTGTAGGTTATTGTTATGTAATACATTTGTTACTCATTTATGAAGCACAGCACATGTGCAAATATGTACCCATAACTTGTTTTTCAAAATATTAATAAAAGGGGTGTGTCTCCAAACAGCCATCTCTTTCCTGACAATTCCCTTTGTGCATATTCTCTTACATATGATGAGTCAACATTGAAACACCTGCGGCTTTTGGTCAGGTGCGGCTAATGTATGTACAAAACAGGATTTTCCCCTGATTTTAGCTTGTGCGGCTAATATTCAGGTGCGCTTTGTAGTCCGGGAAATACGGTAAATTTGATATTTTCTCAAGTCATTTTTGATCCATTATGTTTCACATTCATTTTGTTTATTGAAACATACTGAAGACAAACCGTCAGTATAAGATATCTGCAGTGAAAACACTGCCCATACAAGAACAGTACGTGTGTGAGTGATAAGATTTACCATATTTGCCATCCTCCTCTCCATCTCTGGCTTGACTGACTTTAACAATCTGCATGCGCAGCAGCTCTATTTTAGTACGACTGTCCCGCAACATCTGCTGGGCTGCAGAGAGCATCTTTCTGTCCTGGAAAATAAAACAAACAATTACAAACCAACACAGAACTTCTGATCAAGAGAAAGAAGGTCACACACACACACACACACACACACACACACACACACACACACACACACACACACACACACACACACACACACACACACACACACACACACACACACACACACACACACACACAGGGGAAGTTTACTTTTTCAGGAAAGGTTAGAACTGTGATATGTGTTAGGCACACGATTTGATCTGTCATTTTGATTTAGCTCAGATGGTATAATGTTCTCTGCCCAGTTTATACAAGAAACTAAGTCATTCCAAAAGGATTTACACACGGTGCTTAACAGTATTAGTTCCCTCTTTGCCTTCAACAGCCTGATAATTAGACTGATAATTAACCTGGTCTACGCCCAGGCTGTCCATTCCCCTTCTCTAATATGTCAAAATGTCTGCATAAGAATGCCTTACTTCGAACTTTAAATCTATAAAAGTTTTAAATTTGAACCAACATCTCTAAATGACTTCATAAAGAGTAGTTATAAAGAAAGGCAGAACCTTGTTAACAAAAATACAAACTATTCTGCACAGTGAGAAATTCTAATTCATAAAGGCATCTGGCAAAGTGCTATAAGTCTAATCCTCCTCTTAATAATGTATTCAGTTACTGTAAAAGTTTTACATGGAACAGCAATTTACCACATGAGCCACTCAGAGAGAGTGTAAAGTGGTACTCGTGAGGCTTTGTGTGTTGTGCTATGCATAAATTAGGTCATGTTGTATAATACCTTAAATGAGCCATTAGTGTAAGTCTGGATCATGTTCTCAGCACCCTGTTTGACCTTGGTCTCCATGGTAAGTTGTTTCTTCAGTGTTCTGACTCGACTGTCCAGTGGTGATGTGACCTCTTCCCACTGACATGTCTCTCCTGACAGGTCTTCTTCTTCCTCTAAGTGACCTGCATGGAAAAAACAAAACATACAGGCTGTATAAAGGGTTAGGATACAAATAAGATAAATATTAGATGGATACCAACTTCAGATCAAGTGATTTATCTCTGTATAGTATAGTGGCCTTAGAAAAGTGGTGGTTAAGACAAATACAGCATAAAACACAGCATCCCCGACGTGTCCTGTCTGGGGGGCCTATATACACTGCTTAGAATTTTTCTGATTTAAGCATGTTGGGATTTTGCTTAGTTTATGACATTATGTAAAGAAACCATTCTTCTCACATAAAAAGAAGGGTAATGAATCAAATTTTCAATCTGCAGTCCCCATGGAGCTCCCAGGGGCAGATGGAAAGGTTTCTAAACATTATGCTCTCTGTGGGTAGCAGTGCAGCCCAGCTGACATCCACATGTAACAGCTTGTGTGTGCTGCAGCGCCCTTTACTGCAATCACTGATGCAATTTTATTGAATTCAATTTTATTTATATAGCATCAAAAATCACATCAACAGCTGCTTCAAGGCACTTTCTATTGTAAGGTCAAGGTCCTACAACAATAGATTGTCTGAAGTGTTACAAAATCGTGCATTTCTTTCCCTCCGTCTCTCCAACAATTTATACCTCATGTTTTCTGTCACTATGTGAATATCTGACAACAGGACTGCACTGCTGCTTTATTTATTTTTATCCAGTATATTAAAGATTAACCTTAATCAATGAACCTGGAGGTTTAGGGCAAAGTGCATACATATAAAATAGTTTTCATAATATACCAACACAAGTCATTTACAGTGTGGTGGTTTCAACCAAAGTCCTAATTATTTGTATAAAAAGTTTTATGTGAATCAGTTTATATAGGAAAATGTTGGAGTGTGACTCAAGGATGATGGTAGCTTTTATCCATTCTGGTCTTATAAAACCCCAACGTTTTTATACTGGCTTCAATGGAAAACAGCTCTTGTAACCTCAAAAAGGGTGAAAACTAGCGACAGAAATGAGATACTGACAATGTTAACAGTTTGACTCCCTTTTTGTTCTCTCTAATTAACATCCATAACACGAGTCAGCAACAGTCAAACCTATGTTAAGAAACTGGATCTGGGTTTGTATTGGAATTCTGCTGACCTTGTTCTAGCCCCCCTTTTTTAAGGTCTTGTCTTCTGTTTGTTAAATGCAACAGAACCTGTGAAACAAATGGACTTGTACTCTTACTGGTTTTCCTCCTTCTACATGAAGGGAAAAAAGATTTTGTTACCTATGGCACTGTCTTTCTGTGTGGCCATAGACCTTGCGTTGAGTTCCTGCAGTTCCCAGTGCAGCTTCTCCAGCTTGCGGGTTGAGGCCTTAAGTTGGCCCTCCACATCAGCTGCACTCTTGCGGTTGGTGACTGCCCGTCGCAGCCTCTCGGCTGCCTCCTTGATCTTCAGCTCCCGCTGGATCTGCTGCCGGAGCACTGATCGAGCAGCTTCCAAACGCTGCTGAAACTCTGGGTCAAGAATATCCCACTCTTCCAGATTCTTCAGATTCCCATTCTGTAAGACAATAACACAGTTTCAGTCTCTTATTGGCGTGACTGCTAATTAAGGATATTCAGTCCTAAATGTATGATGTAAACATGCCAATGTCTCCTATTTTAGGTTTTCCCTTCTTAGGAATCAGTTGTTTTTCTTGATTACGTCCTTTAAACAGAAATATGTGTACATACCAAGTGATTTGGGGAAGCAGTAGGTGTGACAGTAGGTATGAAGTGTTTGAATGTTCAGATGCAACTCAAACAGAAGTTGGGCTGCCATGTTGTTTTTAGAGGGAAGAGGCATTCTTCTTCATTCTTCTTCAGATTTTGGTATTAGAAAGACTTCATACAACTTTTTTTTTTTTTTTTAAATACTACAGTATTGTTACCGACTGTTAGCTAATTTTAGCAGTAAAGAAAAGCACAGCGACACAGGCCAATGCTACTGAGAAGAACTTGGAAAATCATCAGCAGTACAAAGCCGAACAATTAGAAAATGCAATTACACTAAACTATATAATGTAATTTAATCTGAATCAATAAAATTAGTTTAAAATAACCTGATTGGCGCAGCCAAAGCGAAATGAAAATCATCACCTGGCTAAACAGAAAAAAACTGATAAGGCTGCTAACCAAAAGCATCAATCTGGACCAACACTGCATCAACAACAGCGAATGACACAATGGCTCCCTCTTATGGGCAAAAATTAGTGAGCCTTACTAAAGACAAATCTTCCATTCCAATCTCCTATTATGAGTTTCAGGATACGTTTATACCTCTATGAAAACATGAACTCCTTTCTATTGCTTTGTTCAAACAATGGCAAAACATTTGATCTAAAATAAGTGCCATGTTAGTGAAATGACAGTTTCAGTCAGCCACACTAATGCAGAATCATCTGTACTGGACACTAGGCCATATTATTTGCCAAATATTATAAATGGTTCATAGGGCACAAGGAGCACAAATACTGTCCAAGGTCAAGTTCAGTAACGAATTAGCAGAGATGAAATCTAGCAAAGTAAATGCTATCAGCCAAAACTGACTGTGTGAGCACACCTGCTAATTAGCGAGGGCACACAACAACTTTAAGCCTCAACAGTATCCAGGTGGATGAGAGCTACATTTCGCTTATTCCTTATTCACAAGGGGTCACCACAATGGGAATCTGAATAAATTTCCAATGTAATTCCTGACTTAAGGAATTTGTGCCAATTGTACAAAGGATTTTTTTAACCAACTTCCTCACATATAAAAACAGGAGTTAATAATATAAAAATAAATAATACATTTTTTTAATTACCCTCATACTAAGGGGGGAAATGTCCAGAGGCCAACATTGTTTGGATTAAACCGTTAACATGGAGTTTACAGGAATCTGCTGCCTTTTGGACCCAGCCTTAATTCACCACTAGAGAACTTGCAGTTTTTGACACCAAGCACATGGTCCATCCAAGCACATAATGTCCTAACAGGCCGAACAGCACTCCCAGTAAACCAATGAAAGCCTGTATGTATTATGTGAAACAATCTGGAGGGAATGGGTTGTCATTAATCTGTACTGCTATTTAATTTATAATTCAACAAAGAGACAAACAAACAAAAACATTTCTATTTCTATCATAAACTACTTTACAGCGTCTGTCTGACACCTGTACACTATGCTGCTTTACTCATTACTCTGGTATGAATATTCCAGCAGGCTCTCATGATCCTACAAAGAGACTGTCTCAAATTATACATTTTTTTCTACAGCTATCCATGTATACAACAATGTGTTTGTTCATAAATAGTACACACTACCCCAATATTTTCTGTATGGAGTGATGCACATCTGTCCTGCATTGGTAGGGACGTCTGAGTTAGACATACAAGTAAAGATATGTAAAATAATGCAATTTGTTTGATCATTAGCCTCTGTGATGCTACTGATCAAACAAATTGTGATCAGGACAACTGGAAAGATTTAAACTGAAAAACTGACACAGCATTTTAAGTTGATTACACAAGTATGTAGTTCCAGGGTTCAGTGAATGGCCCTCTAAGTCAGCATGGCCTTCTGAAAAAATGTTCTGGACACTTTTATAAATGGAAATGTAATTTAAATGGTCACAATGGAATAAAAAGCTTGTGTTTTTCTAGGAAGTTCTGTTTCTTTTTTGTTAGATAGACTTCAATTCAGAATCCTTACAGTGTCTCTGGCTATATCATAGCCAGGGATAACAAAGCCCAGAAAAGTTAAAATATGAAACAAATTCCCAAACAACACCCGGCGTAATTATAATCCGATAATAACTACTTGATCATTACTCATTCTTTCAGCTGTAGCAAGTCGCAAAAAAGAAAAAGAAAAAAAAAGCTGAGGATGTGTCCTTTGTGTTAGGCACTACCAGGCTATTCAGCTCTATGGCTTTTTGCTCGTGAACAGACACACCACACCTTATGTCAATCAAAACTAAAAGAACTTTTCAAAAGTCCTAGGCGATGGTGTTGGGCTTTAAAGATAAAGTAACGTTCAATAAAGGATTTTATAATAACTAGGCTAACAAATGGCTAAATCGTTTAATGCTGTTAAAATAAGTGTCAGTGGACGCAATTTAAAAAAAGAAAGAAAGAAAATCCAAGCTGAAGCCTGGGAAACTATGAGGTAGCCACAACAACAAGCTCGAAGAAGTTCAGACAGCTCTGGTGCTGTGGTCTTTTTCTGTGTGAAACCGGCTCGTTTTTTGCTGGTTATGTTGAAGCATTTGTGTGATAACTACCCAGCCTGAGGTATTAGCTAACTTATCGAGGAGAAGCAAACAAGACAAACAGGAAAATCCAGTGAACCTGTTAAGCACTGAAGCAATTACCGTCGGCTACAAGTAGTATTAACTACCTTTAACTCTGGCACTCTTGCCTCCGTGATCACTGAACTAAGCGTGAAGAATGAAAAAAGCGTTACTCAGCGTTACCTTTAGCGGTAAACCTGACATGATGGCTGTCAGGTCTGTCGTGGACACCGTTTGTCCGTTTCTGGCCGCCAACACTCTTCTTCGGGTCAGAAAGTAGATGAAATGGCTCAGGTAGGACTGACACGTCTATTCTAATTAATTTCACATCGGCATGTGAACTTCAGCGCCTGCTGGATATGCTCACAGACTGGCCTGCCACTTCTCCGTGCCGCACATCACAGAAACAAATCTGAGTAGAAGTTTGAATCGAGTTAAACGGAGACTCCTGGAGAACCTGACGTCACGGGACGGCGGCCGGATTGGTTGGCGGTCAGTAATGACAGTGACACTGCAAGAACCAATCACATTTAATTATTCAGTCGCCAGCTGAGGTAGGCTTAGGACGCGTTCACGTAGCCACCTTGCGAAATCTCTTGCAAAACCCAGTTTACAGGTAGGTATGTATACAGGTGTAATGGAAATAGCATAATTAACTCCACATTTGTTGAATTTTAGATTTCATTATACAAAACAATGAGACAGCGACTTCTCTGTAGATTCAAGCAAATTAACAAATGTATTTAAATTATTTTATTTTATGCATTTAATTTATTTAACACCACTGTAATAGCTGAGCTTTATTCAGGTGGTTTTCTACCTACAGTGTATGAATGCTGCAGTTTGCTCAACCCTAAGGTGCCACACTTCAATTTACAAATAACTGAAAGAATGAAAAAAGAGCAATATAACTCATCTGCAGATAGTTTTAAAAGTATTTAATTTCTTTTAGAAATATTTAATTTATAAAACTATTTTTTTTATTTTCCCTTCTCTTTCTGCGCTCAGAATTATGTATGCTCTGTCCTCAGTGCTCCAATTTGCCACATAAACATACAGATTAATCAAATACACAGCCATACACACACAGCAACACACAGCCATACAAACACCAATATACAGCACAGAAACATACAACCATACAAGATAGATCGACAAACACACACCTTTAATAAACATGTACCACACCACCAGTTAGTTTAAACATCACCACACTGATGTTTGTCGCATGGGATGTACGTGGACTTAGTTCCAGGGAAAAGTGGCTTAAAATTACTAACTAGTTAAATGACTTACAGGCAGACATTCCCTTTCTACATGAGATTCATACTGTATGAACAAAACATCTGTAAACACACTGTCAGGGTTCTCTGTGTGGCAGGCAAGGGTGGGACCCAAAAGCAGGACTCGCAGACCAAGCTAAACTTAAATGGCAGAGAAACAACTGGAAACAAAGAGGCGTAGCCATATTACGTAACAAAAAATACATAAAATTCACAAAGCTATTACAGATCCAAAAGGTATATTTATAATACTTTATTTATATATTGAAAATATGGATCTGTGTATCACTAGTATATATGGGCCAAATGTTGATTAACCCTTTCATAACTTGAACTGGCAGTCTACAAACATTCTCAAACAATACATGTGTGATTTTGGTCTTTGCAATGTTTGCCGTTCACATCACCCCACTCTCGGGGACTACACCTTTTCATCAGTACACCACTCACAATCTCACTTTTTAGTTAGAAGCTCCATTATGAGGGATAACGCAGACACTCAGATTCATCCTGTCACTATCAATGATCATGCACTGGTGTCTATTTCTCACACAGAAAAGAATCATACCCCTAATCAGAAGCTGGATATTTAATACATCATTACCTAAAGAACAAGACTTAATTAATTGGTACATAGTTTCAACCTACAGAGGGGCACCAGACAGAGCTGCCAGCTTTCTCCTTCACTTTTTGTTAATTTTATCAAGCCACTAGCACCAGCAATCCAACAAAATGTAGATATCAAAAGAGTTCCAAACATAACTACCACTCCACTACAGACAGGTAAAATTTGATATGGATGTATCAATTTTTCCATCATGCTCTCAGACCTATGGTTAAATCATATTCCTATGCTAAAAACAGGAGATGATAATCTCACACGTTGAAGAATTTTACCTGTATCACTCTTGGGAAGAGTTGCCGCCATTAAAATGATGATTCTGCCTAAAATAAACTATTTGAAGTTTATTGTTATTTTTTATTTTATTTTTATGGAAAAATAAACTATCATGCATAATCAGCGTGTGTGTGTGTGTGTGTGTGTGTGTGTGTGTGTGTGTGTGTGTGTGTGTGTGTGTGTGTGAGAATGGCTGGGCCTGGGTCTGAAGGCTTGCTGAGCCTTGGCCCCTGTGGTATATGGTCATGGAGGGAGGGGTTTCCCCTCTCTACTGCTCCCCGCTGGATGCTGCTACCCTCTTGTTGGTTCCAGGGCGCACTGATGACTTGCTCTTGGCCAACACCCTCAACGACTTTTACTGCCGTTTTGACGAGCCATCAGGCAGCCTTCACACCTCCAACGGCCCCAACAATAGAGACACTTTGGACACTCATTCCCCCACCTCTCCCCCCTCCACAGAGCCATCACCACCTTCAAACACTTCACCTACAACACCCCCCTCCTCACCCCACACAAAAGAGGATTTCACACCACCTCCTCCCACCACAACTCTTCATATTCATGAAGAAGGTGTGAGGAAGCAGTTTAAGAGTCTGAATGCTCGGAAAGCTCCAGACGGTGTGTCTCCTGCCACCCTCAGACACTGTGCAAACGAGCTGGCCCCAGGCATTTTCAACTCCTCACTGCAGGCATGTCATGTGCCTGCCTGCTTCAAGTCCTCTACCATAATCCCTGTGCCCAAGAAACCTAGGATCACTGGACTAAATGACTACAGACCCGTGGCTCTGACATCTGTGGTCATGAAGTCTTTTGAGCGCCTGGTTCTCTCCTATCTTAAGACCCTCACGGCCCCCCTCCTGGACCCCCTGCAGTTTGCATACAGAGCCAACAGGTCTGTAGATGACGCCATCAACATGGCCCTACACTTCATCCTGCAGCATCTGGACTCCCCAGGAACCTACGCCAGGATCCTGTTTGTGGACTTCAGCTCTGCCTTCAACACCATCCTTCCAGACCATCTCCAAGGCAAGCTTTCCCAGATGAATGTGCCTGATCCCATCTGCCGGTGAATCACTGACTTCCTGACGGACAGGAAGCAGCATGTGAGGCTGGGAAAGAATGTCTCGGACTCCCGGACCATCAGCACCGGCTCCCCTCAGGGCTGTGTTCTTTCTCCTCTGCTCTTCTCCCTGTACACCAACTGCTGCACCTCCACCCACCAGTCTGTCAAGCTAATCAAGTTTGCAGATGACACCACCGTTATTGGACTCATCTCGGACGGGGATGAGTCTGCCTACAGGAGGGAGGTTGAACGTTTGGTGTCCTGGTGCAGCCACAACAACCTGGTGCTGAATGCCCAGAAGACAGTGGAGATTATTGTGGACTTCAGGAAGCACACAGCTCCACTCCCCCCCATCATCCTGACTGACACCCCCATCACCTCTGTGGACTCATTCCGCTTCCTGGGTACCACCATCTCCCAGGACCTGAAGTGGGAGCCCACCATCACCTCCGTCATTAAGAAAGCCCAGCAGAGGATGTACTTCCTGAGGCAGCTGAAGAAATTCAACCTGCCAACACGGACGATGATGCAATTCTACACCGCAATCATCGAGTCCATCCTCACCTCCTCCATCACCGTGTGGTACGCTGGAGCCACTATCAGGGACAAACAGAGACTGCAGCGTGTTGTGCGCTCTGCTGAGAAGGTGATTGGCTGCAGACTCCCATCTCTGCAGGACCTGTACACCTCCAGGACACTGGGGCGTGCAGCTCGGATCACAGCTGACCCTTCTCACCCTGGACACAGTCTGTTTGACCTGCTCCCCTCAGGCAGGAGGCTCCGGTCCATTCGCACCAGAACCTCTCGCCATAAGAACAGTTTCTTCCCCTCTGCTGTTGGACACATGAACAATAACCGTATGACTGTTCCCACCACTAACACATGACCCTACGCTGTGTTCACTGCATCATTCCATGTTTGGCACTGATCACCACCTGCACTCATGTATATATCATGTATATATCTATCTATCTACTTAGCACTTTTAATTCTTATTCTCATTTTTATTTTCATGTCTATTTAAGCTTAATTTATAACAGTATGTTTGCACTGAAGCACCGCAGCAATTTCCTAATGTTGGAAACCCGCTCAACATTTGGCAATAAAACCCTTTCTGATTCTGATTCTGATTCTGGTGTGGCTGTTGACCCTTCCCTTTTTTGTTCCTGTCTGTCATACTATACTACACATAATGTAATAACAAAAATATAAATGAATAAATAAACAGATAAATAAACAGATAAAAGAAACACATGGACAAAAGGAGCCTAGAGAGAATTTGTAGAATTGATCTCGGTGTGTGGTTTGTTGTTGTTGTTGTTTATTTATGTTTCATCCTGACTGACACCCCCATCACCTTATGTTTATTTATGTTATATATATATATATATATATATATATATATATATATATATATATATATATATATATATATATATATATATATATATATATATATATGTGTGTGTGTGTGTGTGTGTGTGTGTGTGTGTGTGTTATGAAGTAGCCGTGAAATTTCGTACTAAAAGAAAAGGTGGTTTACTGGGTAGTGGAGGCTTAACTTCTTTGTACAAGCTGTCGCTTTAAGTTGTAGTGTCGGACTCCAACCAGTCGGAGGCAGTAGAGCACCACAGATATGTTTAGCTACGGTAAGTCGCAGAGAGAAACGAGCGTGCAAAGCTGCGCTCAGTCCTCCTCCTTATCGTGTACTGCGAGACACGCACTCTGTCCAAGGTGGAAGTAACTTTTGTCCTGTGGAGAAGAGTTTTGAACCGCCTTGGATATACGTCTGGTCGAAAGAGTCACAACAAACGATAACCATGTCGGCCTCATCGGCAAAAGTCAGTAGGAAGGAGAATTCAAATCACGACGGAGCGGACGAGACCTCTGGTAACGTTAAGGAATGGCGCTTATCCTGTACAACGCCATTTTCATTTGTTTATCGTGATTTTGTTATTCTAAGCTCAGTGTGGTGTGTGGTTTGGTCCGCGTGATTGCGGATGAAAAGCTAAATTAATATTTTCCTGCAGATACACGTCAGGGTAGGATGTTGCTGTGGAGCGCTTTTCAGTAACGTAGCATGCTAGGCAGCGTGAGCGGGTGCTAGCTGTTAGCCTAAATTAGCTGCCAGCGTTAGTTGATGAGCGTGTTGGAGGCCAGTGTCTACTTTGCGTTTAGCGGGATGTGTGGTTATTGTTCTCGGTTTGAGAAGTTTGCCCTTGGAGAAGTAGTGATGGAACTGCACGCCCCTGCACATTTCCGTACACGCGTTTGTTGCTGTAGCTTCTTAAATGGCCTCATTGTTAGCAAGTGCAGAAGTCTTTCCCAGAGAGGCCGAGCAGCGATAACGGAAAGGTTAGCTGCTGCGGGGTAACGTTCACGGGAGCCCGTCTATTGAGATCGTGTCTGTGTATATGGTAAACCGGCGCTTCTGTACTTGGTCATTTAAACAGGATTGGAAATGGGGGATTTGGACAGTATATGTGTGGAACACGCGGAGGGATCCTTGGTGGACCGGGTGGTGTGTTGTTATCAGAGGGGAGCAGACAGCGGAGACGTCGCTAAGCCTCGCATTCAAACCAGGCCGCCTTTAGCAGTAACAGGAAGCGCCTAAACTGCAGGAGGCACAGGGTCTGTCTGCCATGGACCATCATCAGTCTCTTCAACATCCAGTCAACATAGCACTTTTAAAATGTTTAAATACGCTGATCATGTTCAGGCTGTATAAAGCCTGGTTTCTTGATTCACTTTTTCGAAATAATTATATACAATGCATTTTATTTATATACTGATATGAGGTGTTAAGCTGGTTCATGTCTCTATGAATTGAAGTTCTGAACCGATCAAAGTTGCAGTTTGGCCAAAGTTGAAACTTCACAAGTCTGTTTCTTTTGTTTCTGTGTATCATCCGGTTTGTACGAGGGAAGCAAAAACAAACAACAAAAAACATCTACTTGTCTAACTATATTTGTCTAAAAGTAAATGGCATTTTATCAGCATATAGTTGATTTAACACGGCAGACTACCAGGCTCTATTTGTAAATATTAGGAATGCAGACATGCTCCCAGTTACCTTCCGTTCAGTTGGTACTTACCCATTGTACGTGCTGTTTCCTGAAGTTCAAAAATAATTTGAAGTGTTCTAAAATATTTTTTTATAATGACGGTCTCTTTGCTTCTAAGAAAAAGTGTGCTGGCTGTCAGCCAAGTTATTATTTAAAAAGAAAAAAGTCATAGTTGTACGTCCCGGGTTGATGAAGATGAATAAAAGCATATCAATATTATTTTCTGTCATGACATATATTGAGATATTCTTATTTTTATTCATGGCAGTTTTTCTGAATGTTACCTAAATTCTTTAGGCCAAAAGGATTCGAGACTAACCTTGTACAATTTTGCTATTTCTAAGTTTATGAAACCAAAATGAAATCAAATGCTGCGGTGTGCACAGTCCAGTGAAAATATCAATATATAATTCTCATTTATGGTGTAACATGTCTATTGTGTGCATTGTTATTTTTGTCTGCATGTCATGTTAATTTCACAAATACTCTTTAACGAATAGGCTGAATGGTGTTATTTTGAACTTTTTTAAAACTCCAAAATCCTTAATTTAAAAAAAACAAACATTTCTTTGTTCTTTCAGAAAAAGAGCAGCAGGAAGCAATTGAGCACATTGATGAAGTACAGAATGAAATTGACAGGTGAGTTTGAATCTTCTGTATCAGTACTGGGGGGGAAAATTTGCAGAAAACTGTTTTATTGATCACATTTTTGTCTTTCTCTCTCCATCAGACTGAATGAACAGGCTAGTGAAGAAATTTTAAAAGTAGAGCAGAAGTACAATAAATTACGCCAGCCATTCTTTCAGAAGCGATCAGAAATCATAGCCAAAATCCCCAACTTCTGGGTCACAACGTTCGTCAACCATCCACAAGGTAATTAAATGAAAATGATTGTTGCTGCTGTGTTTATGGTGACTCTGAACTGTCAAGAGCGTAAGAGTCACCATCGGGAACTAAAAGTTAATCAGTTGTGGTAAATTATTATTAAGTGATTTTAAATGTTCACATAAAGAAATGGGATCTAACAGCATAACCTGATCTCTAGTTTCAGCTCTTCTGGGAGAGGAGGACGAGGAAGCACTTCATTACTTGTCAAGGGTGGAGGTCACGGAGTTTGAGGACATAAAGTCTGGATATAGAATAGATTTTGTGAGTTGTCAGGTTCATGTAATATTCATAGATTGTAACTGGCATGCCATATTCTGATTGGAATGTTTTCTTTCCTGAAGTATTTTGACGAGAATCCGTACTTCGAGAACAAAGCCCTCTCCAAAGAGTTTAATGTAAACGAGAGCGGCGACCCGGTTTCCAAATCATCTGAAATCAAATGGAAAGCTGGAAAGGTTGGTTTTTGTTTTTCTCTTTTTTTCCCCGTTAGACTTTTATGTGCTTTGGATTTTTTTTCCTTTATAAATTCAGTTCTGTTTATATGTACTACTGTACAATACGGTTACAATGATTTTCCCCAAGTTGCCCTTTGATTATGTTCGTCAAAAAAATGTCATCTTTTGGCTCATCAGGACCTGACAAAACGTACGGGTCAGACGCCAAACAAAGCTGGGAAGAAAAGGCAGCATGAGGAGCCAGAGAGCTTCTTCACCTGGTTTACTGACCACTCGGATGCAGGGGCTGATGAACTGGGAGAAGTGATCAAGGATGACATTTGGCCAAACCCACTGCAGTACTACCTGGTAAGATTGGTTTCTTCTACACACGCTATTTTTATGCTCGCCGTGTCCCTTGTGTCGGTGTCTGGTGACGATTTTCACGTCACATCCTGTGTCGCCTCGGCCAATTGTATACCTCTCGAGTTTTCTAACTTGGCGCATTGCATCTCAGCTGTCGCAGCTGGGTTGAAGATGCAAGTTTATGACCATATCGTTTTTTACCGCCATTTTAATGAGAATCATGCACAGAAGCTCAGACATACTGACACCAGAGGGAGATGTTATAACGGTTTAAAAACTCGACTTTGTGGAAAGAACTTGACAACACTCGACAAAGTCTTGGCTTCCAGTCTGAGTGGTGTAGTAGGACAGTTTTTGAGTTTTGGACCATCAATGAACAGCCTCCACTCATCTGCATCGTACTCGTAGTTTCGCCTTCAGCACAATGAACAAAGTCATCATCAATTTCAAAGAGTGGAATAAGCTCCTTTTCACAATGCCGATGTAATTCAGATTTAGTTCCAGGAGACTGGAGGGTTTTTTTTTGTTTTGTTTTGTTTCTCACTGAGTCTAGACCCAAGTAACACAGCTGCTTTCGCTGGCAGATCCAGATCTCATTTTGACCCGTTTAACTCTGGCTGAGTGAGTGAGCCAGTAAAAACAGGAGGTGCTTTTTTGTCTGAGTGTGGTTGTTGGTGGCAAGTTAAGGGAACTGATAGATGCTTTAGTTTTGGAATTGTATCCAGAAATATTTAGTAAACAGAAGTAGTAACCAAAGTGAATCTTTGGCTAAAGTAACAATCTGTTCAACCTTTCTCTTATGTTCCCAAGGTCCCAGACATGGAGGATGAGGAAGGCGATGGCGATGATGATGATGAAGAAGAAGAGGGACTGGAAGATATTGATGAAGGGGAGGAAGAAGAGGGTGAAGATGAAGATGAGGACGGTGATGGGGAAGATGGAGAGGTGAGGAAAGGGGTTCAGTGGGTCCTTAGGACTGTTTTTATGAAGTTGCAAAGTATGTCTTTGTGCCCCCCCCCTTGCTAGATCCGCCCCTGCACAGATACAGGCCGTCAGCTACATAGAAAAGGATCCTGGTGTAGAAAGTAAATAAATTCTAACACACAGCTTATCAAGGTCAAACTTATCAAACGTGCTGCTGTTGTTCAGTCGCTAAACAAAGAAGAGAGACATATTAATAAATACACAAACAAACCCCAATCTGATGACACACTGATTCTCAGAGGTCATTTAAAACAGATAAAACTGAGCATTTTGTTAGTAGTATCTATGATTTATTGTAATTTTAGCCTGACTGTTTGGAACAACTCTGCTCAATAAATTGAGTTAGCATGTTAGTAATTCTAAAGGCAGCGCTGGGCCATTCATCAGATTGTAATTTCAGGTTTTTTGTATTGCTGAAAATTGATGTAGTGGTGTCATTTAATAATCTGGCAGTTTCATGGTATTATCAGTATTTCTGAATAAATGGCCTTTGGTGGCTCATTCATCTGTAAAGTGTATCTAAAATTACAAAAATAAAACTAAACAAAACCAGCACAGTCAGTAATTTTATAGTTAACAAAGTTGCATCGTTACAGTGCTATTGTAGCATTGCTGTGGTATCATTGCTTTCTCGGAGCTTTAGTGTTTTAGCATGATATTACTGTTAAAATACTAACTTAATGCTATAATTGCGGTGTCATGGCTGTAGTATTATAGTTCTTATATCCCAATCGGCTGAGTGATATAACTGCACATTTACAGTGTTGGTAATGCAGTATTACAGAGTTACATTAGTATTATATTATTACATTGGTAGAAATTTAGTATTACAGTGATATTGTACTGTTATGGTGGTATTATTGCAGTATAAACATGGCAACAACTGACACATGCATTATTAATAGTATTAGTTAGTATAACATGAGTTGTCACATCGTAGTGTAGTTATTGTAGACCAGTAAGTCTTATGATATAGAGACATTGTGTATTTCAGGCTATTTTAAACTAGTAATTATATTGGTACTATTATATTGGTCTTATTACAGGATTACAGTGATATTATTGTGGCTTTACCTGGTACTGTTCTAGTGTTGCTACCATATTATTGTATTGTTGTTATTGTATTATTCCAGTATTCTGGTGGCATTACTGTAGTATTGTATTTGTTGTCGTAGTATAGGATCGGGTGGTTTATGTGACATTCCTTGTCTTCCGTGTTTGCGGAGTTAATTAAATTATCAGACCTGTAGCAAGTTGATGTAAAAGCTGCTGCTGTAGTTGGAAGCTGCTTGTAATTAGCACACGTGAGTGCTAATAAAACTGCTGTGGTGACATCTTTGAATGATTGTGTTGTAATACTTTTGTTCTTCTTCGTCTTCCAGGATGACGGCGAAGATGATTAAAGGTTTCAGTCAACACCTTTTCTCCATCCTCGCTCCGTGGTCTCTCTTCAACTCAATGGGAGCAAATTTCTTTTTTTTTTGGTTTGTTTTTTGGGGTGGGGGGGGGGGGAGGGGTCTGTGTGTTGTCACCCTGTCCGTCCTCTTCCTCTGCAGCCACAGCCTGCAGATATTGTCTGAGGACCAGCTCCATACACAGCGGGTCTGCAGAGGGGTGGAGGTGCAGGTGTCAGTGGCTCTCTGGATTTTTCACCTGTCATTATTTCTCTACATCTCCCAAAGACATGCAAAAGAATTAAAAAAAAATTTGTAGCATTCTGCACGTCATTCTATGTAGATTTAAACTCCATACAATAACAATTTGTATGTACAATAAAAACAGTTTCTGTTGAAGTTGTGAGTTCAATAAAAATAAGCTATGGTGCAGTGATAACTTAATCATAGCATCCTTAGCGCATACGTGTGCACGCATATTATATATATAATATGCGTGCACACACGTACATATAACATACACACATATATCAATACACACGTATGTATATATATACATATATGTGTGTGTGTGTGTATACATATGTGTATGTGTTTATTATTATATATTCAGTGGTGGGGGTAATGAGGCTTATTAGAAGCTGCATTTTCCTTTGTGACTTATTGTATTAATGAACTGATTAAAAGCACCAGCTTGTTCCTTTGAACTGTTGTAAATGTTTTGGGATATCCATGTATCTTGGTAGGCCAGTTAATTGTACACAGTTTAATGGGGGAGGGTATGGTTGGGCAGGGGGACTTTGACACCAACTCTGGACTTCTGCTAAATAAAGTTTCATTGTCTTGTTTTCCAGGCACCCACAACAAAGAGTTGTAATGTACATTTTCTCATATATATATGAGATTACACTAAAACTCAGAGTTCTAGGTTAGTGTAACACATTCAGATGGGAGACTACGCTGTTCTCTTGAGTCCTCTGGAGTCTGCAGCTTTTCTCCTGTACTGCTAGAGACCTGTTCCCATTAAATTAAGTGTACTAGTTACTTTGTTATAATAAATAAATGTATACATGATGTTTGGAGTAGTTTGATCACATTTAGCCAGTTCAGCTAACATAACCAATCTCACAACATCCCATTTTCTCATGTGCTCACAGGATTAGTGCTATTAGGCCTGTCCAACGACTTTACACCCTACCACTATCTGAGTGATCTTCTTTTCCAGGAATAGTAATGCTAGAATTGATTTCATGTTCATCTTGAACATCTGTAGCAGGTTAGGTCTACAGCATATGTTACTGTGTTGGTGTACCCCTGTAAAGCCTTTGACTTGATCCCTGATCCTGTTACATAGCACAGGCCTCTGGTCAAACAGCTGACAAAATCTGTTTGGTGTGTGATTCTTTAATGGTGTAAGCACTGTTTAAGGATAAATCATACTGGGAAAAATTATCTGTATTTGGCAAAAGTGAATTGACTTCCAGAAATATTTGTCCAGAAAAGTTAGAATGTCACTTTTATAATTACAACTGGGAGCAGGTTCTGGCTGACTCTAGTGATTAGCTACTTTTAAGAAAAGCAAAGTAAATTATTGGAAGCTACTAGCTCTTCAGTGTGACCTTTACCCTCACTGTTTATGACTTTGCTGCTAGTGGATGTTAAAATAAATTATTTGGGCTGCCTCAGGTTTGAAAACAGTTTTGCACGTGTTTATTTAAATTACATTTTGGTCACTTAAACAAACTACCATTTGTCTGCAATCAAAGAAGTGTATTTAGTGGACCCAGCAGAGTCATCGCATGGCAAAGTCAGGTTTACTTCTTAGTTGTTTGGATCACATATAGTGGATGGCAGTAAGCAGTCATCTCAGCATAAGGTGAAGGAATTTCTAACTACAGTTTATATGCCCTCCCTGTTCTAGTGTGTTTCCCCTAGGTATTTCCTCCCATAGTCCAAAGACATGTTAAGTTAACTGGGGTTTCTTACTTGGCTATAGATATGAAGTAGATTAAAGTGCTGTGGGAGTGTTAGGCCTAAAGGAACATGAATGGTCAGTAAGACTAGAAAAGTTATTTCTAACGGCAAGTACATAGTGTTGCTATTTATATAGAGGCGTGATAAAGAACCAGTAAATGTGGACCTATTGTAATCATTCCCAACTCTGGATTTATTCCTGAACTATTCTTGAAAGCTATTAGAGTAGCTTTGCATGTTTCACAGTTCAGAATAATCCTCATTTATCATATGCTGTGTGCTCCTTCAGTTCATCCTCTTAGCTGAATAAATAACTTCTATTCTGATGGGAGTTATCTCTTCCAGAATGATAAAACCTCTCAGCCACAGGACAAAAGAGATTACTTTATGGTTTGACTAATGGAAATGATGTAAATCATAAATTATGATTCTATGTTGTCATCCTTCGGTCTGTTTTAATAAACAGAAGTTTATTAACTTTTGCATTAGGCTGAATGAGAGTTAGACTTTTGCACAGTACTGTACAATTAAAATATATCTGCACAATTCTGCATGTAGATTTTGTGGAGTGTTTATTATAATGGGTACAGCTCTGATTAATGTGGACCCCATACATTACAGCTTAATGGGCAGGATCAAATATTTTATGTGAGAATTTAATATGAAAAATGTTCTAACACGTATATAGATATGTTATAACATAAATGAACTGTGGTGCATCCCATCTTTGGAAAGATGAGTTCAGTTTCTCTAGCCACAATCAAGAAATCACTTAAATAGGACCTGCCTGACAAAGCGGGGTAGACCAAAAGATCCTCAAAAGTCAGACATCATGTGGTAATCCAAGGAAATTTAGGAACAAATGAAAAACAAAGTAACTGAAATCTCTCAGTCTGGAAAGGTTTAAAGCCATTTGTAAAGCTGTGGGACTCCAGCGAACCACAGTAAAAGCCATTATCCACAAATGGCAATGACAGCTCATCCAAGAGGTCAAAAGACCCCAGAACAACATTCAAAGAACTGCAGGCCTCGCTTGTTTCAGTTAAGATCAGTGTTCATGACTCCACCGTAAGACAGAAATGGGCAAAAATGGCCTGCATGCTGAGTTCCAAGACGAAAACCACTGCTGAGCAAAAGGAACATAAAGGGTCTTCCGAGTTTTGCCAGAAAACATCTTGATGATCCTCAAGACTTTTGGGAAAATACTACAAAAGGGCTGCAAGCATAAAAACACAATCTTCACTCACCACTGGCTATATTTGCATCAAGAGATACAACTACAGATGACCGCTTAACAGCCACTGCTCTGAAAATGGTTCAAGCACATACAAGGAGATCATCTTGACAGAATACTTGGCCAAATTCATACATGGAAAGGTTTTGTCTTGCATAGACCCATCACAGAGGTTTGCAAATCATAAAACGCAATAAGTAAATCCCCAAAGGTTGATTCTGTTTATCTGGACGTAGCGTTTTCAGCGGGACAAACGTTTCGTCACTCATCCGAGCTTTTAAAGCTCAAAACACACTGCGCCCAAAATTCGTCCACTGAACTCACAGCCCATTGTTCATTCAGTGGTGCTAGTTTCAGTCACTGTGCAAATGTACTGCTTATAATAAGGAGGGGGAACCTGGAGTCAGCTGAGACTGAAGAAATCGCTTAGATGACGAAACGTTTCTCCCACTGCAAACGCCATGTCCAAATGAACGAAGTCGACCTTTTGAGATCATTCGGAGTTCGGTGACAGGCTGATAAACTCCTAGTTTTTATTAAAGGGCGGTGTCTTAGTTTTTTTAACAACATACAGACGGGTAATCTTTTAGACTATACACCATTGTTTGTATGTATTTTAAAAGAAATGTAATTATCAACCGCCGCAATTAGTGAACACGGGTTTAACGCTGAAGATGTCCGCTGGTTCACGCCTACAAACACGGAAGTGAATGTGGGATTTATTTCTTGCCTCGCGTGATAATCTCAGTAACCACGGTAACGCCAGCTTTATGTAAAATGGCTCCAAAGGCGTCAAACGGCCCTCGGAGTGCTTAGAGTTTATCTGATCAATGTTAAAATATTTGATAATGCCTTTTTATTAGCATGTTCGCAGACGAAGCCCTGGACACGGTGAGTGTCCAGTCACTGTGGAGGAAGTCTCACGAGGCGGCGCAGGAGTCGGTAAGTTTGGGCAGCACCGAGTCTGCCCCCCACAGAACTCTGTTAGCCTGGACAGCGACGTGCTTGCTGTCTACAGTTGCAGAATATTGGTTGGATCCGAAGCTAACTTTAGCTGATGCAACACATGCGTGTTCAGGTGTTCCTGGGTGGACACATTTGCATTCAGAGGAGAATGCATTGCAAGATGACATCATGAAATATGCAGCATCAAGCAAACAGGGACATTTCATGCAGACTGCACCGACTTAACGTTGATAGAAAACACTTCTTCTTGTTCTTGTAACCTGCCATAGATAATGTTGCATTATCTATGGCAGGTTACATCTATTAAACATGACCACGATTTCAAATGATGAGGGCGGATCACTTATAGACGCATTGAGACACAGTGTTTGCTCTCTGTATATCAGTGGCAGAAGATATCACTGTTTCAGTAAGATCAGGCACACAGCTGTGGCCTTGAGTAATGATAAAGCCCCACCTACCTGGGGTTCAGACCTTCTGTTTGCAAGGGACAGCTAATCAAAACATCATTCTTTTTTAAAATTATTTTAATGCCTTTAAGCTCATCCTGTAATTAAACAGGAAAGTCTTAAATTTCTGAGTGTGGCTTTTTTAAATAACAGGTATTTCCCTGGGCAGCAATAGCTGATACGTGTCTGCTAGGCTCTTTTAACTGTATCTGTGCTGTTCATACCTTTTGGAAAACCCAATTCTCCATCCATCTGCTTATGCAGTTCTGGAGCGGACACACCATGGACTTAGCACACAAACATCTGGTTGACAGTGGCCAAAATGCTAACATTGAGCCTTCAAAATACATTCGAAACCAATGAGTGATTCCACTGTGGCTTTGTCTCTCTTTTATGCATACTGTGGATGAAGCGATGGGCTAAACCAGGGTTTATAAGATACATAAGGATTATGTTGAACTGTGAATCACATAAGGCATCTCACCTTTCTTGCTTCCTTAGTAAAAAGACCATTATTTTCGCTGGGGTTTCAGAAAGGATGTCAGACTCAGATGTTTCGCAGTGCTGAGTCAGAGGTCCAGGTCATTTCCACTACCATTAGCTCTACTCAGACAGAGCTACAGGAGCAGGCCACAGAGCAGCTCATCCAGCAAAACCAAGATGAACCAGAGCCGCCTGGCTTGAAGGACTTCCTACAGCAGGTTGAAGACATGGTCGTCAGAGAGTTAGTGAAAAATGTCAGGAGCCATGCCTTTGACGGGTTTCAGGCAAGCTGGGAAGACCACAGTCAGCGGGTAAGCAGAACACTCGTTTGTATGTCAGAGAGGGTTTGTCATCTGCTGCAGAAGGAATCTAGAATGGTCATATTACTACCTGATGGTCTTTATCATGAAGTGAAAGTGAAACATTGCACTAAAAAGTTACTTTCAGCTGTCCCGTTATTCACAAGGCATCAGCACAGCAGATCGCTGTTTTGATTTGCCTAAAACCTGTTCACATCTCTGTATGACAGTGTTCCATCTTTCAGGTCTTACTCATCCATTCCCTTCAACATCCCGGCGCTAAAGAGAAAGGCCTGCATGTCACTAGTGTTTCGTGGAGTTGTACTGGCTCAGTCATTGCCTGTGCCTATGGTCGGTATGTGTGTCTGATGTTAATGTATACGATACTAACAGTCCACTTATTATTTCCTGATGTTTTTCTCCAGGTCATAAAAAGTGTAAACTGCTGGAAAAGCTCTGCTGTTATCATTGTGGCTCAGATCTGTGTTTATGGTGGGCAGGATTGACAATGGAGACTGGAGCAATGAGAAGTCATGTGTTTGCACCTGGAACCTGGACCGTCGAGGCCTGCATCACAGTCAGGCGGACCTGGTCATAGATGTTCCTACTGCAGTCACAGCTTTGTGCTGTCATCCCAACCAGCCTTCCCTCATCGCAGGTACAGTGATGCCACCTTCACAGAAATAAATATGCCCTAATAACTCTTTTCCAAAGTATTAAACATAGTATTAAGTGATGGCTTTTTAAGTAATAGTTTAACTACTGCCAGCTTGAAATGTGAGGTGAACTTGATCTTCTTTAATATTCAGAAATTCACGACTCGAAGGGGACATTGTGACCATATTTGAGAATAATCTTTGGTTCAGAGTATTGGTAATATCTGAGCATTGTCTGCTGTCATTGGTGCTCCTTTGTCTTATACTAGGCTCAGCTGTATTGGCCAAAATAAATCTAGCTGTTTTAAATCCTTCAAAGTTAATAAAGCTATCATAAAGCCTCATCCCTATCTTGGTCTGTCTGACCATCTTCATCAGCTGCTACTTGTCTCTTGACTGTTGCTCCTAATCTGGCTGAGAAATCACTGACAGCATGATCGGTGCTGCCTTTCCCAGACTTCACAAAGCTTCTTCTAAGTAGCTATTTTAATAGCTTTAATACTGAATTATTTATTGTGTGTAATGCTGTCGCTGCAGGGGGTCTGTACAGTGGAGAAGTGGTGATTTGGGACACCAGTCGGACTCAAGACTCTGTAGTGGCTCAAACTGGGTTGTCTGCAGACAGCCACAGAGA